GAAAGGTTTAAATTGTTAATAAATCCGTTCTTACCCTGACTCCCATCACGCTACAGGCTCCTGCTCTCCTTCTGCAGCTGGAACGTTTATTCCGTTTGTTTCCAGACATTTTCATGTTGCCCTCCTTCACGTTCACCACATATATAACAATGTGCAAATGTCATCTCGGAGTCGTCGTGGCGCAGGGGTTAGAGAAGGTGTGCTGGGAAGCACAAGGTTGGTGGTTCGATTCCAGGCTGCCCCTTGTTCCATGTCGAAGTGTCCCTGAGCAAGACACCTAACCCCTAATTGCTCCCCGGGCAAAAATGTGAAAAAAGCCATGGGTTTAAAGTGTAATGTAAGTCGCTTTGGATAAAAGCGTCTGCTAAATGACACGTAATGTAATGTAATCTCCAAACAAACTGATGATCTCCAAACTGAACAAAATCTTTGAGCAATACAGTCATTTAGATTACATCATGCATAGTTAGTAGTTAATATAACAGGCCTCCTTACTGGGTGCCTATAGGGAAATATGTAAAGAAAGCTAAGTGAGCCTAAAGCGAAGAGGAGGTTGGAGGCTGAGTTGGGTAGAAGGACATGATAATAAACTACAGTGAAAGAGTGTTTTTTTAATTAACTGATCATCTGCATACGAGAAGCTCATTGGAGTCGATGTGCTCACCTGAGCAGCAGGCTGCAGAGGATCGATCCGTGTGGAGTCTGCATCAGCAGATGGGAAGGCTGTGATGAGCAGGAAGATCTGCAGAGACAACAGGACCAGCAGCACACTCTTCTTCATAGCGTGTGAAGTGGAGAGTCGGATACACACTTTATATACTCTCTGCCAAGCAGCCTTCCACGAGGAGAAAGTCACTAAGAGGGTGTAGATCAAATAACACCTCCACACGAACATAAACAACCTGAAATGATTTGTAACCTTGATATCAACCTCTGGTATGTTTAGCTGATGTATCTGCTTCCTTCTCTTGGAGTTCTTCCCTGGAAGTCTCCTGATTATGTCTTCAAAAGAAAACGGAAACAATGGAGCTCAAAGATTCCAACTGCACATTTTGTGCAACAGCAGATGTTTTTTTCCTTATTTAACTGAAAATAGTGAAAAACTCATTTCTGTATATTTGAATTAAGGATTTATGTTCAAAATAGATCACACCTCTTAAGAATTGAAACCACATCCCTTAAAGGCTGCTACTTTATACGTTTTGGTCATTTTGTCAGTCGGGAACCTTCCCAAGCAGAAGAGACAATCTCAGTGTCTTTTGGGTAAAACTCTGAACCTCAAGCTGCTACGAATGATTAGAATGAGAAAAACGCACAGAACCAAATTCATGTGGCTGTTTGTTTGTGACAACAAAGGTTTTTCCTTGTTAAGTTATATTCCCTTTCTGTGTTACATAATGTCCCTCCTGTCCCTTCTGACTGAGATGCTCCACCTCATGTTACACCATCACTGGCAGGTTTAGTGACACACATTGCATCACATTGTGTCTTTTTTTAACGGATATGTCACAAAGTTTGCTTTTTTTGTTCCTCTGTGGAAAGTTTTGAAAACGTGATGAAATTGGACTTTTGAAATCATGTCAAATGTCTTTTGTTTACGTGGAAGTGATCAAACCCCAGCGAGTATTTAAAGGTCGTCGTCTTTAGAGCTCCTCATCTCATCCGCCATGGACAAAGGTGTGCTGCTGGTCCTGTTGTGTCTGCAGGTCTTCCTGCTCATCTCAGCCTTCTCTTCTGCTGATGCAGCCGTTCTGAGGAGAGACGATCAGGAGCAGCTGCTTGCTGATCAGGTAAGAAGAACCTTGCAGGAGCTGTCGCATCTTTGATTTGAATTGTTCTGTTTCAGTCTAAATGCCAAACATGTTGCAGAGAGAGTTCAGTTAGTTTCGTCCGTTTTGCGTCACGGCACAGATGAATATCAGTGACTTTGAGTGCAGAATGAGAATTGTATCCTGCTTTTGTTGTACGTGAAGGAGGTGCTGCTGCTCAACAGAGGAAAGCGCGAACAAAAACCCACACGATCCGGCTGCTGGCGGAGGCCCGGTGGCTGCTCAGCCATTGAAAGCGTAAAACAGATTTATTTTTTCATTTACGATAGATTCAATTCTTGAAGTGAGCAGAACCGTTTTAGAGGCTTTTTTTTATGTTCACAGCTTGACCTACCAGACCCTTCACCAACTATTGTAAGTGTTTAATTTAAAAATATGAGTTATCATTGTTTGAGATCTATGTTATTATCTTGCAATACTGTCAAATGTTGAGAGAGTTCAGTTTGTGTCGTCCGTTTTGCGTCACGGCACAGATGAGTATCAGTGCAGAATGAGAATTATATCCTGCTTTTGTTGCACGTGAAGGAGCTGCTGGCCAAACGATCCGGCTGCTGGCGGAGGCCCGGTGGCTGCTCAGTCTTTGGAAGGGTAAAACCGATTTATTTTTTCATTTCATTTACAATAAATACAATTCTTGAACTCAACAGAACACTTTTAGACACTTTTTTTCTTTGTTCACAGGTTCGTCCACCAACTTCTCCACGGATGATTAAGGAAGACATAATGTAAGTGTCATTCAAAAATGTATTATCATTTATTTTATTATCTTGCAATACTGTTAAATGATAAAGAGTCTAAATGAACAAAATGCAAATATGACTTTTTTTTCTATTTAACAAATAGATTAATCAATAGTTTGACGTAAACAGAAACAAAAGTTGAGATCTTTTTCCTGCTTTACATCTCACTGACCTTTCTGTTTTTTACTTCTCAGAAAGAAGATTAAAAACGATCCAAGCAGTCTGATATCAGAACAGAAGTGAGACATAAGAAGCATGAATCTTTTCCTCAAGAAAGCTGTTCTCTTTTGCTTTACCATTTACCGATTTGGTGACAATAATCAATAAATACGTGATCAATACCCCGTACTCCCATGCAGAAAGAAATGACAGCAATCCCAGAATTGTTACAGACATTGAAACATTTCAATTGTTTCTCATATAAATTACTTTTTTGGCAGATTTTTTTTATCATAAATTACAGTGAGTTCAAATTGTTGTTATTTTGTTCTCTAGTTCTGTTGAAAAAAGGAATTGTTTTGTTTTCAAAATAAAATGTAATGGCTACCCTCAATCAATCGATTACATTTATAAGTACCAGGACTGAATTATTAGAGAAGCAAATTAAGTGCACATTTATTCAGACTAGTACTTCTAATATTGTTGAAAATCTGCTCAGTAAATGTTATAATTCTAGAAATTGCTTTCAAATGTCTCCCATTATTAGGATGGACCACGATGTAATCTTTTACTCCAATTGTTGTTGATCATAAAAAATTGTCGCAAAACAAAATAAAGTTCTTGAAATAAGAACACACAAGGGTATCTCGCCTTTACTGTGTTGAAAATTAGAAACCCAGAAGTTTTATCCTTTGCAAATAGCTAACGGTTCGATTCTCATTGTTATTACTTAAACATTTTAACCTCTTTTGTGTCTGTGGGGCTGAAGAGGAACCTTTGCTATCACGATACTGAATATAACTAAAGGTAATTCAGCTTTGTTGATTGATTGAAAGACTACATTTTGTATGCTAAGCTAAGCTAACCCTGTCCTGACTTAAGCCTAGTTTATGCTTCTGCGTTTTCAGAGCGACGCAAGGAAACGCAGACGTAAGAGCCCCTCGTGTGTCCCGCAGCGCACAAGGCTGCGATTGGTCCGCTAAACACGTCCTTTACGGAGTCTCACGTTTCCGTTTTCATAGCCCGATACCGCCATTATTAAAACGAAGAATGTTTACGAGAGAACGGATCAGATTTAAATACTTTGGTCGGAAGAAATGCGTAAATTTAGTAGTTAATATAACAGGCCTCCTTACTGGGTGCCTATAGGGAAATATGTAAAGAAAGCTAAGTGAGCCTAAAGCGAAGAGGAGGTTGGAGGCTGAGTTGGGTAGAAGGACATGATAATAAACTACAGTGAAAGAGTGTTTTTTTAATTAACTGATCATCTGCATACGAGAAGCTCATTGGAGTCGATGTGCTCACCTGAGCAGCAGGCTGCAGAGGATCGATCCGTGTGGAGTCTGCATCAGCAGATGGGAAGGCTGTGATGAGCAGGAAGATCTGCAGAGACAACAGGACCAGCAGCACACTCTTCTTCATAGCGTGTGAAGTGGAGAGTCGAATACACACTTTATATACTCTCTGCCAAGCAGCCTTCCACGAGGAGAAAGTCACTAAGAGGGTGTAGATCAAATAACACCTCCACACGAACATAAACAACCTGAAATGATTTGTAACCTTGATATCAACCTCTGGTATGTTTAGCTGATGTATCTGCTTCCTTCTCTTGGAGTTCCTCCCTGGAAGTCTCCTGATTATGTCTTCAAAGGAAACGAAAACAATTCCAACTGCACATTTCGTGCAACAGCAGATGTCATTTGTATTACTTCTTGTAAAACTGGGTAAACATTTGAACCTCTTTTGTGTCTGTGGGGCTGAAGAGGAACCTTTGCTATCATTTCATCCCGATACTGAACACAACTAAAGGTGTTTCAGCTTCGTTGGTGGATTGAACGGCTACATTTTGTATGCTAAGCTAAGCTAAACGTGTCCTGTTTGTGACTTAATATGCAACAACCAGAGTTCTTATTTGACTGTCACCTAAAAAATAGAGTATTTAGTTATTCCTTTAACAGAAAACACAAACCGTCAATAAGTGTAGCAACTTAAACCTAAAAGCTCACAGGAAACCGTAACAGAGCCCATGAATTAGTTCCTTTTTGTGCACGTGGCTGTTCCTGTTACGACTTATGTTCAGGGTGTTCTACGCCACGTGCTTCCACGGGGGATCAATACAAACCTGTTTCTGATCAATACTTACTGACTGCGATGGTCCACATGTGCACGAGCGCACCTGCTCCTCATCCTCCAATCAGATACCTCCATGCTGCGTGCAGCTCGACACAGACTCACGGGTCCAGCACGTTGTTTCTGTTTAGAATCCCCCCCCCCCCCCCACACACACACACACACCAAAAGAAACCCCCCAAACAAGTGGCGTTTACGCAGCAGAGACGCACTGGAAGTGGACCCGGATCAGGTCTTATCCGGACTTGCACGCTGCGCAAAGAGGGCGCGTGCTGGAGACGCTTATTTTTTGGTGCAGAAGTCTCATCACTCGGGACGAGGAGTAAATGGTTTCCTGTCGGACCCCCTCCCCCCCGTTCCCTCCCTCCCTGCTTCGTGTCCGCGGAGGTGAACCGGTGGTCCGTGTCCCTCAGCCGGAGACCCACTAAAGAGACATCGGTGAGTCCTCAGGATCTTTGCTGCGACCCTTTTTACTGCTTGTTGTCAGCAGTTTAATCCAAAAGTCGTTGTTAATCGGGAATAAGGGAAAGTATCCTTTTAATTCTGTTATTCATCCGTTTAATTACTTTGCTGTTTGCTCAACATCACCCTAAAACACCCAACGTGCAGAAGTACTCATGACTGTGACTGCTGATAAAGACAAGCTGTCTTTTATATTTCTGGCCCTTTTTTTTAGTTAAATCTTAAACAGCTGATCGTTGTTCTTCTGTCATGTCGCCTTCAACGGTGGAAACGTTTGGCCTCAACTCGTCCAACGCAGAGAGATTTTCCTCCTCAGGAATGTTAATGCAGAAAATCCAAACTCCTGCTCGGTGTTAATACCCCTGATTTACTGGGTAAGTGGCCCGTGGGACGTTAAAGGGGACTTTTAGGTGCTTATGGACGCAGCTCTCTGCTCTATTATGCAAACCAGGAGGTTTTAGTGTGGAATAAACACACAATAGTGCTGCAACAGATGTGTTAAACTCACTTTGTACTTGATCAGCGGGACTCTGAACGGTCACTTTACCACAACTATGACACTATTTCAATATATGGACTTGTTAAAACGATTTTAAAATGCAAATATTATCCCCTTTCTATGGTGAATTGATGGACCCACGTAGTGAAAATAGTACTTAATTCATTGGAGAAAAACAGCCCAGTTTATTAGCTTCACCTATAGCCTAATAGTCTAAGTCTAATTTCGAACTGTAACGTAACGCCTCATCAATAATATATTTTATTATATGTTGTATTTATATATCTTTATCGAAGAATGAACTAAAGGTATTTCATAAATAGTGGAGTAAAGAAATTCCCAAATTTCCCTCCGGATTGTAGTGAAGTAGAAGCGATGGGCAGGAAGTTGGATCTGTCGGGGCTGACGGAGGACGAGGCGGAACATGTGCTGCAGGTGGTGCAGAGGGACATGAAGCTACGCGAGAAGGAGGAGCAGCGCCTCAGGTCAGTTCTGAGTAATAACCCGTGCACCAACCACACCACCGGACTGAATGAACGCTGCAGATTGGGGCCTGACGGTGATTCAGGTAGAATATCGTTGTGAGAGCAGTATGCATCCACATTGGGGACGTTCAGGGGGCATTGGAAGCGCTTTTGAAAACCTGCGAAGCGTATTTCCACCTTCCTGCCTTTTGTTGGACAGGAAGCGACTGCCCTTTTCCTGTTGTGCTCAGACCGGCTCCTTCCAACCCTCTAACCTCCCCCAGCCCGAACACAACACGTATGAACTAAAAGACCAGATGGTAATTCATCCGCGTGGCTTTGATCTGCGTCTTCGTGACCTTTGACCTGAGAGATAAACATAATGACAGTCATTTCCTTCAAATCACACACAGTACAAGCCAACATTTGATGTATTAACGGATGCTCTCAACAATGCTGGTCAGATATTTTCAGTAGTATTGTGTAGCGTTTTTTTCTTTTAATTGTCCTTGTTTGTTTGCCTCGTGCGTTGGTCTCACACTGACCAACAGGTGGCAGTGATGATCCAATAAAATAAAACAACATGAAAACAATGCAAGCCAGTAAACAATGTGCAGGATTTAAAATCAACAATCGACAGGTTTGACCTGAAGCATTTTACTGTTTGAAATAACTCCAGCTAATTTATCTTGAGCTTTATATACATAGCAATTCATCCAGGTCAGTGAGACTGATTGGCTTTTATTTAGTCAATTTATATGCTGAGGACTTAATGGAAGTTCAAAATGACCACACGGGCAAGCATATAATCAGATGTATGCAAAAATATTTTTTTGTAATGTTGTTAATACCACTAAAACATTTTTTTCAGTAGTTTAAGTCATCCCACAAAAATACAATAGATGTAAACTAAATATATGCAATAAAATGGTCATTTACAGAATCTGTGCTTCACATTTCTGATTAACATTCAACTAAGTCCTTAAAGACACAGAGAGAAACTCAATGAACATCTGTATAAGAATTAAAACCTGGTTGGCTGGATTCAACTGAAAAACAAAAGACACAAAATGAATGTCAGCCCACAATCATCCGAACGTTTAAGTCCATCTTACTTATCCTACATTGAAAAAAAACGTTTTTGTCTAGACTCGAAGAACAAAAGTCACCATCAAGACGCTGCACATTAAACCAAAGTCAAGAGCTTCCCCGTTTCTATTGGTCAGTAGCAGCTCATTGGCTGCGTTTCTACAAAATGTAAAATAAACAGAAGAATAAATGTATTCACACAAATGCAAGCACACATTATTTTACGTGACATATTATTATTACATTCAGTGAGGATTGTTGCAGCTGGTGGAACTAAACATTGTCCCTATTTATAAAATGATGCCTTGCGTCTTCTGCTGAGATTTGTTTGCACGTGTGAGAAACACTGTCGCGTTCATGTGCACTCGTGTTGACACTTCCTCGCTGGGAGCGTTTTTTGCAGAGACTGTTTGCAATCCGAGTTATTTATACCGCCCAGTGAGCTTCAGTGATGTGGTAAGAGCAGTTAAACATTTATGGCCTGGAGTAACAGAATATCTGATATTCATAGTCGAGAAACGTGGCTCTCGAATAACTGGAGGGGTAAAGAGACGTTCGTTGAATGCAAAACGATCACATTTTCTGGGAAATTAAAATACGGCATGTGCTTATGCTTTAATGTATAATTGATCATATTTAATATTCTTCTATAAACAACATACAGCTTGTAAATAAGTTATCCGAGTGTATACATTGTATACAAGTACATACATTTTGAAATAATCATTTCAAACCTAAATTAAAACTTTAAATTTAAAAAGCACGTTTGAGAATAGTGGGTAAAATAAATATTCTGCACTTTTTTTTTTAATCCTCGTATCTTTTTTAAAACCTTTTAAACGAGTTCCTGACGTCCTCCAAAGACGGAAAAAAGAAAATATTTGAATTTCTTAACAATGGTGCCGACGGTCATATTTTGTATGATGGAAAGCTTCAGCCACTTCGAGCTATGACGCGTGTTTATTTTGTGCTCTACATATCAGCAGAAAAGCGGCTGCTGTGAAGGAGAACACACGGATGTATTATTCAGCAGAACTCCTGCGCTGACCTTTACGTGAGCACAGCGGGCTACGCTTAAATATTCAACGAAGACATTTATGAATGAGAGCTCTGCTTGAATTTCAACACCCTAGAATGAATCGTGTACATAGAGGGGCTGCTGCTTGTTTCCATCCCCATGTACCTCAATGCTTGAGACTAAAATGAACGACACAGGTTGTGAAACCATTTTCATTAAAAAGAGGCAAAGGATCAGTTTAACAGTCTGTTTGTGTGCTTCACGTCCTCATTTTGATAAATTTTGATAATCATCCAAAAAGAAAAAAAAAAAGAACACAGAGCGACTAATATAATGAATACTCTCCCCCCCTCCATCCCTCAGTGAGCTGAAGCAGGAGCTGGAGGAGGAGGGCAGTCGCTGCCTCCTGCTGTCACGGCGGAGTTGCTTCAACCAGCGCTGCTGCATCCGCTGCTGCTCGCCCTTCACCTTCCTGCTCAACCCCGGCAGACGCTGCCGCGACTGCGGCTACAACGTCTGCAAGGCCTGCAGGGTCTACAACCAGCGGGACAAAGCCTGGCTGTGCTCCGCCTGCCAGAAGAGCAGGTGAGACCCGTTCAGGTGTGTGTGTGTGTGTGTGCGTGCGCGTGGGTGTGTGTGTGTGTGTCTCAAATCCAACTGGTCAGCTGTGGTTCTTTATCGCTGTCGCGTTGAGTCAAGTCGGTTAATTCGGTCTTGATGTGACATGAACTGGTTTGGTTTGGTGCACAAACCGTCTGCAGCATACGACATTTGTTACATGTCAATGGATTCTAATGTCTGTGTGTGTGTGTGTCTCAGGTTGTTGAAGACACAGTCTCTGGAGTGGTTCTACACTAATGTGAAGACGCGCTTCAAGAGGTTCGGCAGCGCCAAAGTGCTGAAGACGTTTTACAGGAAGCACTTGGCGGAGCGCAGCGCGCTTCCAGAGCTCACCGGTAAACACGTCTGTTCGTCTGTTCTACATGAAGCTGATGGACTCTGACTAGGAAGAGGAGGTAGTCGTAGGGACGTCACCTATTGGTTTGATTTGCAGTATTGAATAAGGATTGAAACTAGCGATTGAGACCACAATCTCCTGTTTACTATGTTCAGGTAATAAATCAAGCGAGAAGACTTTCATACAATCGCACTCACTGAATGGATTTACAATAAGCGGTCGTCGAATACTTTTTCATTTATTTTTTAATTCACCCTTTTTTTTAAATTTCACCTGTGACAGAAAACCGACTTCATTTACTTCTTCTTTAGTGACGTTTCATGATCTGAGTAGCGTGTTTCTATTTTTGGTGCAGAAGTCTCATAACTCGCACATGGTGGGGATGGAGTTCGTTGCGCTGACGGCGTATTCAGACCGCTGCGCTGTCCTGCGTGTGCACTATGACTGATGACGTTGAGCCACTCTGATCTGATTGAACAGACGGGGGATTTGGGCGAAATTGAGAGAGTGTTTTGTGGAGGAGAGGCTCCTGGCTGCAGATGACGCGGCGCTCTGACCCCCGTGGGAGGAGCACTGATGTGTGCCGGCATCGGGCCGCCGCTCAGCGTCCGCCGACGCAAAGAGACAAAAGGGAATCCGAATGAATAGAGCTGACATTTGGAAACTAATAGCGTTGAATGGAGGTATATCGCAATGTGTCAGATCGGTGACTCGTTTCCCAGATGAGACGCTTTGCTCGGAGACGTTCTTGTCTCTGAAGCGATGCTGAATAGCAAGCTGACAAACACGCACGCACGCACGGACATAGTTACATTATTTGATGCTATATATAAACATCAGGAGAAATGTTGTAGGAAGTAAAAGTCAAAACGATGCAAATCATACGTACAAATATATTAATATACATTATTTGGTATTAATCACATGAGGGTAGTTTTAAATTTATCGGAACCAAATGAACTACAGTTGAACCTTCATGATGGCTGATGGAAAAGTCTGAGGATCATCAAGGTCGGCGGGATTAAACCTCTCTGGACCATTAATGTCAATAGTGTAATACCGTTTTAAAGTATTTAGGTGAGGACGAGGCTGTGACAGATAGTGTTCCAAAGATGTGCATTTGGATTGTTGTGCGGCTGCAATTGAATTGAAATATTCAGTAGTAAGAACGGCTTTTTATAAATGCATTATGTTTCAATGTGTGAACATGATACAGTGGAGCCGAATCCGCTACCTTCGGGGTTACTGTGACCGCGGCTGCTCGCTGGAGTCTTTTTATTTTTTTTATGTCCGTGTGCCAAATGTGTCCCATTTCATTAGGTCATTCTGCTCCGATGTCTGCACCCTGCACGCATATATATATATATATATATATATATATTTCTGGGGCCACATAAAACAGATCAATACTTCAGACCCTAAAATGCCTCATTTTGTCTTAATTTACAAGATGCATCACCTCAGTAAACTCAAGCTTTGGTGTTTAGCAATAAAATCATCTAACAAAGGATCTGTAGTTTGCCCCTTAGAATGATTGGACGTGACCCAGTGTACTTGATCTCCTAACCAGCGCCACAGGTCAGGTTGCTTGCTAATAACACATGTGAGGCACTGGTGCACTTATGTAACCGCATATGGCTGCATTGTGGAGGTCCACACGGATCGTAGATGGAAGGAGAAGCTAAAATCAAGTAAAAAAAGTCTGGTTCTAATCCAAACTGTTGGGGATAAACAACGGTTTATGGAAAAACACAGCGCTTGCATGAAGGAAAACATTGGGACAATTCCTCACCCAATATCTACATTAATGGTAAATCCAAAGCAATTATCAAACACAAGAGACAAACCTTTTTTTGCATTTATTCATTCATCTGTTTGCTTATTGTCCTAATCAACAAATGTCAGGATTACAACTTTATCCCATGTCAATCTACAGTATCTATTTTCATGTACATATTGTGTGTGTGTGTGTGTGTTTGCGCACATGTAGAGAGCAGCGCCTACGAGGACAGTATCTGCAACGAGGGCAGCTTCTGTGGGAGCGACTCAACCTTCTACAGACAAACTAAAGGTGCAGAAATAAGTCCTAATGATTTCACTATGAAGACTAAGATGTGCTCTTCACCTATTTACGCAAAGCACTTTGTAAACAAATCTGTGGATTACTACCTTTTTTTTATTTTTATTTCTGTGTTCTTGCATTTGTATCTTGTTGTAGCGTGTACACACAACTATAGTAGTACTATTGTTTTATAGTAGTATTTTAGTACTATTTCTGTAAAATACTACTATATTTTTGTCCACAGCATTTCTAATCAATTGGGGACCGATTTTAATTCCTACAACCCTCGAATTAATCCTGAGAAAAGACATTTTTTAGAGAGCGCTGCATCACCTGAGCGATTGTGCTGCCGTGCGCAGTAGATGTGAAATCACAGCCGGGAGATTGGAAATGAACTAGTTTGAGGTAAAAGCATGCATGTCAGTTGACATTGAATGATTGAGTGAACCTTTTATCTCCGGGGTCCCGGGGGCAGTTGCCCTACTTGGCCGGTCGTTAATTCAGCAAGAGCTTACTTCAATCTCCGAAAGAAAGTCCCCGCAACTGCCCCTCTGACGCCACATTATCTGGTTCAAAGGGGGTTTTCTTTGTGGTCATTCATTGTAATCCCCCCAGGAACCCAAATACTCATATTTGTTCCCAGCTGCCGTGAATATAATTCTTTACAGCAAATGAATTCTTGTCCCACTCCTTTGGCATGTGTTCCCATGTGTCCCGACTTTGTCTCACTCTCTCAGGTTTAACCGCGCTAACCGGCTAAGAAGTTGCTAACAGGCTAAGGGACGTTTAGTTCAAGGTTCAGCTTGACGTAACCGGTGACTGTTGTTGCTTTGTGTTCAGAGCACAGCGTCGCCGAGACCATCACTGTAGCCCTGCGGGTGGCGGAGGAGGCCATTGATGAGGCCATCTCAAAGGCCGAGTTTGATTCTGCCAGTCAGGTTGTTTATATTGTTCATACGTCGGCCATTTATTGATGATCCCCAGCGTGCACTGTAATTACTTTGGTCTGTAAATGTGATGTTGCAGATGCTGCACAATGTTATTTGTCTTTGGTCTGCAGTCCCGTTGAGAAGCGTCCTCTGCAGACCTCCTTAATCTCAATTTTTTTTTCTTTTTTTTTCCAGAGTTTAAATCAGATTATGAAAAAATAAACCATCAAGATTATGCTGCAATCCAAAGGACCGTTTAATGCTACAGTATCCAGGTCATTATTAGGCCAACAATAGAAATAATGTGGCTCATTGGACGTATTGAACTAAAATAAATCACCTTTACTCCACTTTTTAGGGTCTCTTTTTTTAACAAACTTGCCTCTAAAATAACTAACGAATCCATATGTAATGACGTATAGTGCTGTTTATATAAGTGTATTTCATTTAATTTGAACAGTTTTCTTATTTGTGTTTTTTCTTGTGTTGACCAGGAGAAGCAGAATGAGGCTCACTATCTGCGGGAGCACAGAGGAGAGCTCATCGAGGAGCTGTCAAAGACTATTGTGCAAAACGTAAGAAGTGTGTGTGTGTGTGTGTGTGTGTGTGTGAGAGTAGGTCGACTTACTGCACCCGTTGGTACAAAACCATTAGAACCAGCAGCTTTTTGTGTCCTGTTTGTACGTAAGGATGTCTCCGTCTCTCAGATTATTAGCAGGAGGAAAACTTTGACCGAGATGAGGGCGGAATACGACCAGGATTGGCCACTCGAAGACAACACTGACCTTCAGCACCGTCGTCATCATCATCATCATCAGTCAGACTGTAATCAAGCGTCCGGCTCCCTTAACCATCATCCAGATCTCTGGGTAAAATGCTCAACAAACAGCGGTTAACTACACTTAAATTAAATAATAAAAACCTCAGACTAAACTCGTCATGAGATGTACTGACCTCTGCTGGTTAAAAGGTTCAACTTAACGCAACCAACAATGTTAATGTGTCACCTCCTCCCAGAGGTCCCACAGTGCCTTCTCCCTGTTGGACAATGACCCTTCAGGTCTCGTGAAGGACTCGTCACAGATGGCCGCCTGGAAGAGCGTCGAACGGCTGGACAACGCCGGTAAGATCTGTATCTGCTTTTGGTGGCCGCCATTGCTCATTAAATGCATTGAACCATCCACAAAGGTGTGGTGAATATTAGTAACTGATGAGATGGTACCAACTCGTCCACTGTTATTCGTTCGGTTCTCACTGTGCAGTGCACGTGTGTGTGCTAAGGTGCGTACGGCGGCGTGTCCTCGGTGCTGAAGAGCCCGGACGGGAACTGGATCGCCCTGCAGAGCAGCCAGCTGCCTCGGCCCAGCCTGCTGACCAAGAGGAAGAGCCTGGTATTCAGCGCCTTGGAGAGAGAGTCCGAGGTGGCGTCCGCCTACGAGGGCATGGACTCCGACAGCGGAACCGAACCGGAGCACGGCACGCGGCTCGGGACGCCGCCGCCGCCGAAGGGCCGCAGGGGGGAACTCTTCTCGGACCCCGAGGGGAGCTGGAAGCCCAAGAAGCCCCCGCTGGCTCGGCTTAAGGGGAAGGTGCCCCCGGAGATCGGGCGGCCTTCATCCTCCTGCAGGACCAGCATCGTCGACGTGAACTTTAACGTGGAAGGAGCCAAAGCGGAGCGAAGGGGGGCTGGCAGGTCCGACGTGGGTAAAGCCCGGAGGTCCCGGAAGAAAAAGAGGGGCAAAAAAGGGTCGTCTTCTTCGATGCTGGTGAGCAATAAAAAAAAATACAAACTGAAGAGATGTGATAAGATGGAAAGATCTCTGACTCACACAGCAGAATATCAATAAATAGCAGCAGCGTTAGTAAAATTGTTCCACAAATTTTCATAAATTTTGCGATTTTTGACGCTTAATCGTGCAGAAATCTGTATTCTTTGGGTCGAGTTGCTTAATGCGCAGTTTACCGAACATTATAATGCTTCCTCTACGTAGCAGTAAAATAAAGTTCATAAGCTAGTTAAAGATGCTCAAAGGCAAATTATAGCAACATTAAAGAAAGCCATACTTAGTTCACCAGCATTTATTTTGGAATATTCTTCAATCTATTCTTTCTTACCTTTCAAAGGATTGCAGGGAGAAAGACAATCATTCCCAGCATTCGTCTGATGCTGCCACACCGGACACCGTGACCTCCGGAGCCACGACCCCTGAACCTTTTTACCTGGAGAGTGACCTCACAGCGCATGAAGCCAAGCAGCTGGAGGAGGAGGAGGTCACGCTAAAAACGCAACAGCCAGCAGGCCGAACATCTGACTCCTCAACCGGAGGCGGAGCAGATGCTGAAGTGGGAGGTGTTAATGAAGACGGACAGAGGGAGGAAAACGGCCAAGGACACAAGGACAGAGGAGAAGGAGATGAGAGGCCTTGGAGGATGGAGATTGACTTGAATGAAGGGAGAACCGAGGAAGAGGATGTGGATGAAGAAATGAAACACAGGCTGTACAGGCTCATCGAACATTCCAGACTCGCCTACCTGTCGACCGATGACGACTTGGACAGAGAAGACCAGAGTGAAGGAGAGTGGGAAGGAGACGAGGAGGTGGGAAAGACGGGCGGACTTACTTCTAAGCTCTGCCAGCTCGAAGAAGAAGTCTGGGCAAACCAGTTCTCCTCCACAGAGGACGAGTTGGACAAAGTTGGCGTCGCTGATGAAGAGAAGACGGGTCAAGAAGAAGAAGAGGAAGAGGAGGAGGAGGAGCTAGCATCAAAAGTGTGCAGATTAGCCGACCAAGCCAACGCCACGCAGTTTTCATCCACGGAGGACGAGTTGGACCGAGCGAGTGGAGGCGAAGAGGAGGCGATGGAGGAGAAGCTGTGGAAACCTCAGGCGGAGGAACGAGTCGAGGTCGCTCAGCTGCGCGATGTGGCCAGTTTCATTGGTGCTTCTCATCTCCGATCCACTGAGGACAAGCCCGATGGAGAGAAGCAGGAGGAAATGAATGAAGGAGGAATTGAGAGGGAGGAAGCAGTAAGAAGGGTTTGGGTTAGGAGAGAATCATTTAGAGACTTGGATGAAAATATGTTTTATTTAAGGGAGGAAGTAAAGACAGAGAGCTGTGATGTTGAACACGTCCTGCAGGACAAAACGGTGGAAGAGGAAAAGAAAGATTGCAAAGTAGAGCTTTTGAAAAAAGCTGTGACTAAAACAACTAAAGCGAAAAGACAAGCGATGCCGTTAGAAAAGGTGGTCCAAGCAAAGACAACAGAGGAGTTAATGTCTTCAGACGAGACAAAAGGCCATCAAGAAAGTCGGCCTGAGACAAAGTGTCCGGACAAGCAAGAAGGAGAGAGACAAGAAGAAAGTACGATCGGAGGGAGTCGGGAAACAGCAGAAGACAGTGAGGAGGAAGACGCAGAGTTCGACCGAATAATTCGCAGTATGTTGTCGATGACTTTGGCGGACATGCAGATGGAGGCGTTTAAGGATGAAGGTGCAGAAAGTAGGAGCATAGGTAGAGAAGCAGAAGAATTGGAGACGAGTGAACCTGTAGAAATTGAGAACACCGTCGAAAGCACAAATGCATCAGAGGAAACAGGAAGTGGAAAGAAATGTAAAAGTCGAGGCGATGACGTAACGGCGGAGTCGGCTGTGGGAGGAAGAACAGGAGGAATTGTGGGTGAGCGAATAGGAGTAGATATCTACCAGAATAAGGACACAAAGGAAAATGAGCGCCGGGAGGCAGATAGAGATGCGGCAGAAAAAATAAATCTAGAAATGCACCAGACTCTCGCAGCGAAACAGCTCAAACGACTCGAAATGGATGACGACAAACAAGAGGAGAGCAAAGTCAACGAGTGGAAACTCTGTAAAGAAACCAAAGAAAACCTGGACGTTGTGCAGCAAAGCACGTCGGCTCCACGGGGGGGGTTGCTGTCACCTGAGGAGATTCAAAATGTAAGAACTAGGAGGTTAATCTCACTGTGGACAGCGATTGATAATAAATATATCACACTTTGTTGGCGGCCGACGCTCTGATGCACTTTCAATAACGTTTATTCTCTAACGTTTATCATATTTACTTTCCACAATTCAACTTGGTCTTTAACTCTTGGAAAAAAAACATTCTTCCTCTAACAAATTAAACTTCCTTCAGCAATAAAATGCACCAATACATTTTACTTCTTATCAATAGATAAATAAATAAAATCAATTCTATTTACCTTTATCAATTTGGAAATTGACTGAATGGTTTTGGGTTTGGCGTCTCGATCGTTCAATAATGGTGAGCAACAGGACCTCACGATGGATACGACAAAAACTATGAACTGCTTTGAAATGTACATTTTATCATGAACAAAAATCGCGGGTGTTACTAAGCCGCTTGTCTTTGGTAGAGATACTCGGCGGTGTCTCTGCGCAGCATCACCACGGAGGTCCTGAAGGTGCTGAACGCCACTGAAGAGCTGCTGCAGGGGGGAGAGGGAGGAGGCGGCCCCCGCCTCCACAATAATGTGCTGCCCCCCCACACGGATCCAAAGAAACTGGATCAACAGTTCTGTAGACTGGAGGAAAATGTAAGTTCAACTTTCTACATTTGTTTAAATTGCAGCACGCTACGTCGATGTTGCTGTTTTCATTACACGATAGTACGACTACAGTACCACCAGTATTCCACTACTACTGGTTCTGTAGCATACTCGTATTATTATACTACAGACCAGTTCTGCATTTCAAAAGTAATGCTGAAAAACATTAAGTCATTGTATAGCATTTAAAAAATTAATAGTATTCTAAGAAGAAATCCGTAAGAATATAGTACGGCTTTTCGAAATCTTTAGGTAGTAGTGGTGTATATAGCATGTTATAAAGTCATCGCATACACGTGGTGTGTGTATATAGCATGTTATAAAGTCATGGCCTAGTCATACTATAGAACACAATTCCATATTAAATATCCGTGTAGTACGTCTTCAATTTTCCAAAAGATTTAATGCAAATATATGTTATTTGGCATATTTGGTAGTTATTTTATGCCTTTACGTTAAGGCATGCTGACTTCATAAAAAGGTCAGTGTAAGTTCATAATTGTGAGTAGTTTCCTATGTTTAAAAAAAAATAATTGTCATTGAAACGTAACCAAGTCATGATAGAGTACATCATATAAGAAAGTGCAGCAAGTGAGGTTATAATTTACTTCTTGTAAATCAAATGCTTGCTCCCTAAATTGGTCAAAAGTTTGACACTGTAGTGGGAACATCCATGCAAACATCTGCTTTGAACAAATATACACATTGAAAACCAAGCCAACAAATGGATTAATCAACTTTTAATACATTAAGACCCTGCACAGAGAAAATGACACATTACCGGGTCGCTTTCTACTTCCCTGTAAATGACCACGTACGACAGGTTTAAGTTGTGAACTCAATCCTGCTGCAGGTGTACGTGGCGGCCGGGGAGGTGTACGGTCTGGAGGCGGAGCTCAGCGACCTGGAGGAATGTGCTCGGGACGTCTGCAGCGCCACGTCGGACATGGAGCTGTCCTACCTGGAGGAGCAGGTGGCATCGGCGGCTGCTAAGGTTCAACAGTCTGAGCTGCGGGTGAGTTAAAGCTGCATGCACACATTTAGAAAGGCCCGTGCTGCTATATGTTGGGGCGCGAATTCATAAAAACACTGATTGGCGTTAAAGTAAAACTTGTACTGTGGCTGGTTTCCTCTCCAGATTGGCGACATCTCTGCCAGAATCGCCGCTTTGAAGAGCGCAGGCCTCAATGTGGACACACAACGCTCGCGCTTCACTAAGAGCGTTCCAATTATGGTACCGGTATGCATTAATATTGTTACTACCAGTCTTATGTCTAGAAACAATTTTTCAAAACCTGAGTTTGACTTATTACAGCCCGTCACTGTGGAGTCATCAAAGCAGTCGAGGAGGCGATTACCTGCACCGCCAGTAAAAGGTGAGCACATACGTGTACAATCATATGCAACATACTATCTGAATTTATGGCATTATACTGAAACGTCACAAATGTACAGAAAATAAAACCACGATTAACTTTTTTACACTAACATGTAATCCAGCATAAAACACCTATTTACATCACTAATTTATTCAATATTCACTCATTAAAAGAAGTGCAATTTGATTGATTCTCTTTCAGAAGACACGATCTAATCAAAGCGGGACCGTTAAACTTCACCATGGACGTGCCTTGACCGCGAAACTACAGACCAGTATTAAGATGATCCATCGGTTTGCCTCTTTAAATTATAAACTGCCTTAAATACAAATTGTACAGCTTGTACGGTACGTGAGTGATTCTCATGTTTTCTTGTGGAAGTGTGCAGTAGATAAAACTACTTTTAATCAGGTCAAATTCAACCAACATTTGAGGTAAAAGAATAAAAAAGATGAAGCTGGTGAAACGATTACATAGTATTTTAGTTACAACTTGTCTGTAACATTAGTTCATTTAACCGGCACTGTTTTTACCTTTACATCTGAACGTGATGAGACCATATCATGTTAAAAAAAGAGTTGTATTTTCTGTTTGTTTTGCTGTACATTTAAGATATTACAATCATTACATTTGTCTGTTTATATTGAGTCCAAGACAGTTGATCCACTGTGGACCCAGTCTGCCCTCAGATGAAGGTGGGTGTGACTGAGGAATTTAGTTTGGCTTTTTCAGATGAGGAAATGACACTCGGATATGACATTCCTCTTTGAAGGATGTGTGGGATCCTGTGTGGGAACACATAAGCCTGGAAAATAACAGCCCTCAAAACAAACACCCAGCTTTCACCTCTTCCTCTCGGTTGACCTGAACATTTCCACAAAGGTTTGGTGTTTTTACTCTGAACACTCAAAAGATCTTGAGCAGCGGCTGAATGAAAAATAAAGTCCTCCTGGAATATGTGGCTTTGGTCATCTCTCCGAGACGAGGCAGCGCTCCCTCTGATCAGGAACTATGAATCCTTCTTTCTGTTCGCTCTCTCTCCGGTCGGACATGACAAAAGCCTGTTTGGGGTCGATGACCACCGAGCCGTCCTGACTCGGAGCCTCCACCTCGGTGTAAGAAGGCCGACCGGAGCCTCGCCTGAACTTCATGATTGGCCAGCGAGTCGGCCGCCGCTGAGGGGGGACGAAGCACGACAGGAAATTAGCACAAAACTGCCCACCGACAATTTGGATACGAGAACTTAAGAACAACAGTTTTGGGTTCTGTTAAATGTACTTGATTCCTTTGCAGAGGGTAAAAGGGCACATTGATGTGAAGTACCGGATATCAAAGGGGCAGAATAAAGTGTCACTCTTTAAAATCTAAGTAAACACATAAAATACATCTGAATTAAAGAGTAAAGAAACCAGCTTTGCTGCTTTTTAGACAACAAATGTTGACCGTGGCAATTAAACCTAATTCAATATGAAAAAAGGGCTCAAGCAGGTGGATAAATAAGTCACTGACCTCCATGAAGAAGAGGCTGGCGCTGGAGGTGGGGTGGTTGTACATGTAGACTGACGTGAGGACGGCTGCGCCCATGATGACCATCGCCATGACGATGCCCGCGAGTAGACCCGTCTGCGGCCACCCGTCGCTCACTCCCGCGGCCTCCTCGTTTCCTGCCGAAGAGCGATGCAACTTAAAGCTACTAGCAGGTGTTTATGTAGATCTAAACCTCTCCATCTAAGGTACTGACATCTATTCAAGTAGTAGCCGTGAATAATACATTACTGGTCCTCCCCGTAAATCCTGTGTAAGGATGTCTTTATTAAGAATACACATTAGACTTTTGTACATCCGTAATAAAAGATTAAAATACATCCTCCGTGGAAAATTAGATTAAGGATAGTGTAATTTAATCCGTGGCAGTATTTCTGTGATTGTCAATTAAATCTATCGATTCAAAACAGAGGATAATTTCGGGACTAGCGAGAAAACTAAAATGATTCTAATTGCCACTAACAAACGACATCCATTACAGCCTGAAGTAACAGCCTTTTACGGTGACCAGACTGACACGCATACATCGAGTCATCCTCCAGCAAATGAGGATACTATGTAGTATTTAACAGAAGGCTGGGAAATAGCTGACCACTTGACCCTCATACAAAACACACTGGGCGTGGAAACAATGCAACAAGCATTTATTCATGAGATGGTGAGGACGCCCTCCCTGCCCACAGGAGTCATATTGAGTGACATGAAGCGATCAAACAAGAGGATTCTATTGCTGAGGTCAACCCTTAATCCGGATTAGTCCACATCCAACCCAAAAGTGATAAATATTTTATGATGATACAATACAATGGAATTGAACATGACAAACAAGCGTACCTAAATGAATCTCAATCTCTCGTTATGTGTCTGGAGCCTTTGAGTTAAACCTAAATTTATGTGCGACATGCGCTCAGCCATCGGAGGACGGTTCCCCCGGTAACGAGTTAGTTAATTAACTGTCCTCCCAGAGACAATGAATTGTCCCAAACTAAAAACTACGTTGATCCACGAGAAGCAGGTTTGTGTCACTCCAGACAATCTGAAAGCCTCTAGTCATCTTACCGTCTGCAGGTTTGCTGGTCGGAGGCGGTGGAGAGGACCCTCCTCTGCTGCTGTGGGGGGAGGGTTTGTTGACGGAGGACGTTTTGCGGGGGGGTTTGGGGGTCATGCCGGAGGACCGGTGCTGCTTTGTGGTCATTGGGACATCGGGGGTGGTCGACTGTGTGAGGTGGCGAGACGTGCCGGTCGTTCCGAGGCACCGGAGATCTCGTCTCTGGGGAAACAAACATCGGTAAACTCTCTCTTGTGAAGACAGACAAAAGTTCTAACAGGGTTCAACTTTCTCTAGTTTACTTAAATGCCAAAATAGTGACAACCTCCTCCGGGCAGCCGAAGTCGACCCAATCTTGCCGATTACGATCAAAGCCACTGGAGCATCTAAGAAGAGAACGGAAATACTTTTTATTTTTACTCTCAGAGACATTAAAGATACTGTATTGACAAAATGTTTGAAGGGTAAGTCTAAAACAATTCAATTCACAATTCACTTAGAATTTTGCAAAACGATCAAGCGAACATTCGTCTACTTTAACGCAGCCCTGGATTCAGATTGTATGAATAAAATGGGGTGCTATGTGCTGCGAGTGCTCCCCGGTTCACCTTTGTAACCGGCTGCACCAGCTGCAGTTAAAGCCGATCTGAGAGGTGACACACGGACCACAGCTGGAGAACTGCAGACATGCTGAGAAGAAAGAAACATGAAAGAGTGAGGCGGAAGAGAAGGCTACTGTGAATTAAACCGAGGAGCGTGTTGACAGGCCACGCTGCAGCGTGGAGCCAACATGATACGTACTTGGGAGAGGCAGCATTTCCACAGCTGTACAATTTGCAATTTTGGACTTGAGGATGTCAACTTTGTGATACTCATAAATGGTTCTCCTCCGAACATCTGGAGTATGTCAGGAAAGATATGTTGTTGATTACTAGTGAGATCCAATGTATTGTTTTCCTTAATAAAACAAATATATATAAGAAAATACATTTTCATTAAATACACCAAATGTGTCACTCACTGGGGATCTGCTGTATCTCATGAAGAACCACAAAAGCATCCGACAAGCCCACTTTAACAGGGTGATGGTGTGTGCTGATGTTGTTGATGTCTAAAGGAATCTATCAAATAAAATACAAATGAAGTGTAATTAAACAGATTCTGCATTAACAGAGAACCCAAGACAAAATAACATGTCACCTCTTTGTATGCAAAGACGATCCGTCCATCACTGTGCAGAACGGCCTGGAAGGTGAAACTCCCGAGGCTCATGTTGTCCTGGAGGTAAACCCGACTCCACTGAACCACCAGTGCGGTGCCTACATACATAAACACAACATCACAGACATGTTGTATGAATACCACACAGCAGGCACACAAACAATGATCGATTGGTCTCTCTTACCGTTGTCACAGTAAAACACAGTAGAGTTACTGGACAGGCTCGGGTCGAGATTGGCCATCAGAGGAGCTATGTACTGAGTCGCTGTGAGCATTCTGTGAAGCACATCTCCAGTGTAAATGAAACCTGAGGAGAGTCAAACATGCAGAAGTTACCAGCAGTCATTCATGTGCAGTGGAGGGACAATGATCATCTTAATCATGGACGAGATATGAGACCAAGGGCCCCTCAGACAAAACAAACTGCACGTAGTCGGTTTAGAAAGTGATCCACGCTACTGAAATACCTCAATTGACAATTCTAAAGCATATAAAATAACAGAACACCAAAAGGAAACCTGGAGCAGGTTTGAGGTTATACGTTATTTAAATTGGTTTGTGAAAGACTTACCTCCAGTTGCCACTGTGATTTCTTTTAGTAAATGTCCATAGAAAGGGAAGTAGAAGGACAGATTCACTCTCTGGATAAAACAAAGGGATAATACACTGTATGTTTAAGATATACATATACACTGAAAAGAGATGCACCAGCTGTAGCTGAACTGTGTGCATGTCGTTTGTGTCTCTGTGGCAGTTGTGCAAAGTCTGTCAATTGTTGAAGCTCTACTAACAACACAATGAGGGCTGACAATCAGCCCTCATGTAGTCTGTGGTAATACAGTGTCTGTGTTCTCAATCCAACAGAACTGTAATGCAATGACCAACAATTCATTGATACAATGTAATAAATTATTTGGATTTCAAGAGCTTACAAAACGTTTAAAAGTAAATAATGAATTATTTTCGATGAGAAATTACATTTAAACTCTGATTTCTTACCTCAGCTTGTCGATAGGTGCTGGACAGAAAGCCACAGACCTTCCACTCATCCTTTTCCATCTCATCGATGTTCACCCACAGCTCTTTACTGCCGGCGTCTCCAGAACCGTAGATTTTAGATGTATAGTAAACATGATCCATGTCCTGTACAAAGTGTAGGGATTGAAATCAGCGTTCGTGTCATCTTGTGTAAAAGTTTCCAAAAGAACAGAAATGCTTTAAAAAGTCTGGTCTCTGTGAAAACTAATCCTTTATGGCGAGAAACGTATAGATGAGAGCTTCTTCAAGAAAGAAGAACTTCAAACAATTGTTACCTAATGGCCAAACTAGCATCCCGATTAAAAAAAACTAAATACATCAACTACCACAGACATTGTTGGGATATTATTTTCAGACATAAACAATAGTTCTCTACATGTTTCTTCATTTGCAAAATCTCTTGAACTGAAAATAACTTTACCACAATCTGTGTGGAATTGTTGTGCCCCTCGTCCAACAGCAGGTCTGGATCGGACTCCTCCGGCCTGTGCTGGTCTCTGTAGTGGCCCCTCTTATCCGCATCCCAGCCCGGGGCCCCAGACCTGCGCTTATTGCTCCCTGCGACGACAAACGGCCGCACGTCCGGAGGAGACGGCCCCTCTGTGTCGGCACGGTAGACTCCTGACGGATCAAATAGTGAGAAGTTTTAGTTTGTTTAACTTTTTTTTAACATTCAATTTGAGGGTATTACCCTGCCTCTGGGGATTTTTTTTGTACTTTACATCACTTTATCAGGTAAATTAATGACTAGTGCTGCAATTTAGGATGGTTCTCACCATCAACTAGAGCGATACCCTCGTCATCGTGACAACAGCGTGTGAGCTGGCAACGTCATTTCCGCCAGCGGTTAGCCAATCACACCATCTATTCCGTTAGCTCTTAGCTAAACATAGTATCTATTCCGTTAGTGCTTAGCCAAACATACTATCTATTCCGTTAGCTGTTAGCCAAACTAACTAACTGGATCTATTCCGTTAGCCGAAAATATAATCAATTCTGTTAGCTGTTAGCCAACAACATCATATGTTGTGTTAGCTGTTAGCCAAACATGCCATCTATTCAGTTAGCCGTTAGCCAAACATACAGTACAATGCTATCCGGTGAGGGAGCACCGCAGCGGGGTCGAGGGGAACTGGGCTGTGTTCTGAACAGCGGCCCCTGCTGGCAGCAGAATGCTAACACACGAGCAGATGGCTAAGCAGTCCTTACTCATGTTTCCAAGAAGAAGAAAAAACGTGACACGATACATCGATTCTCCAAATTGTGGCTGATTATTTGCCTTAATTCCAACTCACTGAACTTAAGTTTAAAAAGTGACAATTCCATATTTATAAGTTTCCAAATATTTCAGGCTGAATTTTTGGAATCCGTATAGAATAATTCGCATGGTACCTAATATTTGGGGTTTGAATATTTCACAGAAAATTCCCACTGCTTCAATACACAACACTGAGGCTACGATACTGAAACAAATAAGGGAAAGCTGAAATAAGGTAAGCTGTACATTAGATGTGCACAATGCATCTCTTTGAACATGTGGTCGTCGTGGCGCAGGGGTTAGAGAGAAGCACAAGGTTGGTGGTTCGATTCCAGGCTGCCCCATGTTCCATGTCGAAGTGTCCCTGAGCAAGACACCTAACCCCTAATTGCTCCTTGGGCAAAAATGTGAAAAAGCCATGGGTTTAAAGTGTAATGTAAGTCGCTTTGGATAAAAGCGTCTGCTAAATGACCTGTAATGTAATGTAATGTAACATCTCAAATAGCGTGTTTCAGCATCTTCTTCTCACATGCAACAATAAACAATCCCCCCAGCTGTGGCCAGCACGCCACGGTCACCCCGCCATTCGGCCCCTTCCAGTGACCCACTGTGCGTCAGACTCTTTCTTTTCACATCAGAGGTCGAAAGCATGCTTCACATTCTTCACACCAGCAGGTCCAGGAGCAGTCCAGGCATGTGAGGGGCAGTGTGTTGATGTACTATATGAAGCAATGCCCGGGTATTGGCATCGATCAAAGTATGGAATCAATAATACCATGCGTAAGCGTTATTAAAAAAAATCATTACACTGAAACACTACCGCGGCACATATGGTTAGCTTTAACAATAGGTTTCATAAATTAGGTCTAAATAATATTTTACTTCCATGAAGCGTATTAGGACAGCTTTTACTGTCCAGGGCAAACTGACCTTCCGTTAACCTACGACCCCATTTGAGCAGAATCAAGAATAAACACATTTTATAACTTACCATAAGTGGATTTAAACCTCGTGAAGCTTATTTGCAACTGGAAAACGAAAACCAGTGCAGTGATGAGGTTAGCTGTCTTTGTCAGGGTCGTCGCCATCCTTGCTCTCGGCTCGCAACGCATCGTCAAAGCGAGAAGAATAAATAAATGTAAAATAAAAATATCAATAATACAAACAAAAAAAAAGTAACCCACTTTTCTAATTAGGAAACCAAAAGAACAGAGACGAGACCAACGTTATGTTTCTCGTCATGTTGATGTTCTTGTTAAATTTTCAGATTGTAGGTCCGTGCATCATTTCGACACCTCTTCAGGTAAAGAACTGTCTTTTTGATGAGTTTAGCCAGAATGCTGCCTTCATGTACCGTCGTAATTGTTACCAACATGAGCGCAAGGATCGTGGTGTATGAAGTATTCAGAGAACCGATGACTTTGACTATGTCAAATAAAAGCGCTGCAATAGAAATACATATTACTAGTACTCTTTGTGCAGAAAAGTGGATTCTGCAACTGTTACATTCTGCTCTATTGGATGACGACCAGAATGTAATAGTTTTTATTAAGTTAAATAAGAATTTACTGTTATACTAAACACTTAACATTGTTGTATAGGACTGGAACTACCGATTATTTGTTTTATGGATTAATGTGCTGATAGTTTTCTCAATGAATTGAAAGTGAAGCTTGAGAATTACTAAGAGCAAGTGAAGGCAGCATTTGTTACGTCCCTCATGTTGTAACACAAGGACTTCCCCACTAGGTGGTCACAATCAAAACAAAACGCACGTGAAGGCCCTGGTTTTACTGTACTGAATAAAATTAAAACGAGTCAACGAGTCAAGAGACAACGGAACCCGATATATACCTTATAATAACAGCAAAATAGGGAAAGATAACTTGGCTGATTGTGCAAGTTAAAAAGGAACTTAAATTCCTGTAAATATGCTCTTTACACCTTTGAACCCTACATTTACTTAAGTATAACTACTTATAGTTACAGCATAAATTCAAAAATGCATATTCATTGTTACTTATGGAAATGTATTAAGTCCTGTTCATATATCTACATTGAGTAGTTTCACTTTTAAGTATTTTGGATGCATTACTTTTGCTTATCGTGGAGTATTACCTCAAAATAGTACCTCTACTTAAAGTACTCCATCAGTGGGAATAACTTGAAAGTACGATATTTTGATTCTGATTTACCTGCTAGCTGACATGAGTGAAGAGGGATGTATTATATTTGCAACTATCAAGCACACAGAGCAGAATCCAGTTCTAAACTAATACGTTTTTTGAAAGAACATTCCCGAAACCTTACATCACAATCCTTCCCAGCCAAGTATTTAAAGGTGTCTTCTGGGTGACAGTACCGCAAAAAAAAAACTCTGCTGTATCCACATTAAAACTAAAAGCGAATGAATCTGAAGCAAAGGCTGGAAAGCGAAGTTTGGTTATTCTAAATTTATCAGAGGGTCGTCGTGGCGCAGAGCGGGCGTACAGAGAACCGCAAGGTTGGTGGTTCAAGTCCCAGCTGCCCCTTGTCTCCAGTTGAAGCGTCCCTGAGCAAGACACCAACCCCTAATTGTTGTGTAATGTAAGGTGCTTTGGATAAAAGGGTCAGCTAAATTACCTGTAATGTAATATCTAGAATTTTAATTCTGATAATGATAATAATGATTTGTGTCAAAAGCGGATTACTTCGCAGAGTTAAACCAAAAGAGTTTTGTAGAACTACTTGTTGAAGTCACGTGAATGTCAAAGAATGCCACGTTTATATTGTATATTTGAGGATTTTAATGCAGTGCGCACTGAAAAGATCCCTTGTAAACCACACTTCAGAGGTAAAACATTACCAAAAATTATAATATGCATGACAAAACCTGAGGCATTTAACTTGTTATGGTAAAAAGACAATAACGGGAAGTCAAGATTCAAGATTGAATGCGACAAAAGGCAATGTTGTAGGGATGAAAAAGCTGTTTATGTCTTTAAGCAATATTTTACATTGCATTAAAGTTCCAAGTCATCAACTCAATACATCAGTTGAAGTGATTTGTGAAATGTAAGAAAAACAAACAAACAAGCTCTTCATTAAAAAGGCGCATTTCCAAAATATAGTCACTACCTCACATTTCCCGGGACACTGGAATATATAGTTATGAACAAATTATTTATTTATATATTTTGCTCAAATTTCTCAGTCAATTTTTAGGCTAGGTGGAAATTCTGTTAAAATGGTTAGACAAAACTAATTATTCCATCATTTTAATCAGACGAATGTAGAAATGGAGGCCACGTGAATACGGGGGGGAAATTAAGTCGTACTGCATCCTAACGTTTTCATGATCTCAGCGATAACATTAGCACTGGCGTGTGTCAAATTCGTCTCAATCATTCCACGGTATCAAAATTCTTACAATGTGTACATGTGTAGAAATGCTAGTGACGGCACCTTGAAATAAATAGCTAATTTGTGTCAAGGGATGTTTGATGGCATGAGAAATTGTGACGGGCAGCCTTCTAATTCAAGAGAAACCCAGCAGCTCCACTTCAAAGATGAGAGTGGAATTTCCTGGAATGACGGGTGGGTGTCCTGCGGGGCCGTACGCGTAGTCCGGCGAGCAGGTCAACCTGGCCACCTCGCCGATGCTCATCTGTGGAGGTGAAGAGCAAGATGCATAAAAAGATATAAATTGCCTGACCATATGCTAAAAGAGGACACCCCAGCTTTAGTTACGTATGTACACAATGTTTAGTGGTTGGGTTTACCTTCGCCACACCCTCATCCCAAGCACGGATGACTTGCTCGTGGCCAAGTTTGAATTTGAAGGCCTGTCCGCGATCCCTGGAGGAGTCAAACTTATTTCCATTCGTCAGCGTGCCTGTTCAACAAGCAACAAGGGAAAGACCTTTTAGAAACGTAACCACCACGTTGAGATAAATAGCCTGGACCGTGTTGAGTTAAGGGTCGTGACTCCAGGGAAGACGTGTGGCTGAATGGCTTTTCTTTCATGCGGTAACTGTGGCGCTTCGACCACAAGCCGAGAATTCTATTCGAGAAAGGCCGACATATTAATGGTCTAACGTTACGTGTGCCAAACTGGACAAAGGTATGCGCACCAAACGTGTAGTAACCCACCGTATGTACGACGTTTAACGTTAGCTTAGCACAGCGCACACATATGAGAAACGAGTGAGGGCGGCTAACGTTAGCCTAGCAAAATATTACGCCGTGTAAAATGGCGAGGCTTTGGGAGCCGGGAAGCATGTTCCGATGAACCGGTACGGAGACAGACAGCCCGGCCGTAGCTCCCGTTCCCAGCACTTGTGCTAAGCTAAGCTACCGTGCACACACGAGCACAGCGTCGATTCTCTCGTCTAACGCTACCTTTCGACCTAACGTTAATTCAATTGGAACGCGTGCACAGTTGAGTGGGTAGCAGCTGCCATTTCAAATTGGACGTGGGTGGACTAAATGGAGAGTCGGCAATGCAATCACGTTAGATATTACCAACGTAGTGCACGGAGACCTTCTGTCCCTTCTTCGGGTAGGACTTTCCTGTAATGAGAAAAACGTGGAAAACGCTATATAAATAAAAGGAAAGCCACTTCAGGCATAGAGTGATAGGAATAATACATATATAATTTACCGTCTCCTGGTCTAATGGTTTCGACTTCTACGCCCATTGTTCTTTCCGTGTAGTCTTCCCTCCCTTTAAACGCAGATTATACTCTGCGCGAGGAGAGCGCGTCAGAACGTGACGTAGTGACGGCTGGCGCGCGGAGCTCTGCACCTCTTCCGGAAGAGTTCACTTAAAAAAAACATTTTGGGATTCCTTTTATATAACGAAAGTCCATTGGAGTTTTGAATAAATTAGAAACGGAATTTCTTAAAACTCTTCATTTGGGTAAATGCTTTGCATTAAATGAAATGATGTATGATTGGTGCTCAACCTTTGTTCTCCTTGTAAAGCTTCTCTACCGTACTACAAAGGCAATACATACTCATAAATATGAGTTATGCGATATTTGCAAAAATATCCTCGTTAGTGTATAGTTTTATCCCGGTTACACCCACAGACTACGGGTATATTCATGGGGTACAGTAGTTTTTGATTCTTTACATTATGTTTGTACATTCTCGGAGTACAAACCGGGCCATACACGTAGCTTCACACTTCCCGCTCAGTGACGTCATCATGTTCAGTGACATGCGACGTGATTGGTTCATTCAGTTGAGCCGTTGGACTGTACCATATTGATCTCACAGGAGAACAGGTTGAGTCTCCTTTTTTACTTATATGGGTTTAAAGGGGGTGGGGGTTTAACGGGTTTGTTTCTGTTCGTGTGGGTGCTAATATGGACGAGAAACGTACTTTAAAACAGACCACTTGCGCGTAGGAGGATAGCAAAACTAATGTCGCCAGGGTGTAAAATTGCAGTATGGGTTAAAAAACCCATTTGTTTTATACACGTGGTTTAGTCCACTCCTTCTAGATAGAACTGCTCAGTTTAATCTGTACTAGTTTTATGAATCAGAAAAACAGACCAGTCCCAAAATACAGTATAGTTAAAGGGAATCAGAAATATGTAATAAGAATAGAGGTGTATTTTGTTTATCCCAACTATTTCTGTGAACGAGAGAAATTTAAAAGAAAAAATAATAATCCAATGATGAAAAAGAATAAAGGACAGGAAGCTTCAGCTGTACACTTTCATTATTGCAATTTAAATAAGGCGGTAAAAAAAAAAACACATTAAAAAACATTGATTAATAAATTGTTAAACGGAAAGACCAACACCGTTGTCTTTTATGCATACTAAACAATAACATAAACAAGCTACACCATGTGTATGTTTAATTCTTTCTTCTAAAAAATGTTTTTTAGCATTTGCTAACACTCAAGGTAGGTAAGTAATACATTTGCTCATGTATTCCTTAATCCAGTTGTCATTATTCAAACTAATGAGTCACTAATACCTTCTCATCCGCTGATCCGATCTTGCCCCAGCAAAATTCCCCAATAAAATCAATATTGAATATTCTAAACAACATTTACAATTGGCATCAAAATATCTCCATGAACACATTTGTTTTTAATCAGAGTTGACTAAGCATCAGATGGAGCTACTGTGGTGTCAGTCACAGCTGGAGATGGATTATACAGACGGTTGAAGAAGGAGAGGTGTGATTCAGTTCCACCTTGAGTTCCCTGGGAGGAAAAAAACAAATATTTATCATCTACCCTCTGTGAACTAAACATATGTCAATAACTCCTGCCTGCTTACATCTATTCTGCCCTCGACGAGGTCCAATGCAGAGTTGTCTTCACGTGCGTCGCTGGTTATAATTGTCGGATGTTCCCTGAGACACACAAGCAGCGGGAACGTGAACTAGCGTTCTTCTGTGTTTTTCTCTACATTATGTTTGTGTTTATGAACGAGGGTGTACATTTTACTCAAGTTCCTGTTCAGCACGAAGAGGAAGACGGAGATGAAGAGTCCAGCCAGCAGAGTCAGACCAACAGCCATACCCACAGACAACGTGTCTGCAGACACACAAACACTTCAGTTCAGCCTCTTAACACTTTGTGCATCACATTTTTCACAACGGCCCTTATTTCTGAGCATTTGCATGAATTATTATTTAATTTGGTTGTTCTTATATTAACCTTCAGCGCATGTTACTCAACAGCTGAAATATTTGGTCCTCTTTGATTAATGTTTGCTAAAAACTGCAGTGATCAGACATTTACAAAATGTAATATTTAATTTGTGACTATGATAAAGTGTCAACCATTATCAGTGTAAAATACTTCTTACAAGTGGTTGTTCAAACTAATATTTAGACCAGTGTCAATGATGTCTGGATGATTTGTGTTCTTTGAAATCAATTCATAAGGGGGCAAAGAAAATGCATCACAAGCGTCTCCTCAGTTGAAGAAGCTGAAGAAGGTCTCAATTTACCACTATTGTCCTCAGGCGGGTCAATGGGGGGCTCCGAGTAGCAGCCTCCAGGGAGGATAGTGATGTCGTCAAGGGAAACATCCCCACCTGTATTCATACCCCGCTGATAAACAAACACAAACTGCAACAAAAACAAGAGTTCAAATTAACACAGAAGGAAAATACTGCTCTTATTGTTTAGTGTGTGATAATAAAAGCCATCCCCATAAAAGTGACACTAAATTGACTAGACTTTGCTTTTCTATTTAAGTTGACTTCCAGGATATTCAGGTTTTTTCATCACTTTATATTCAGTCAGCATCTTTAGTCCAGTTTTTCCTTTTAACGATGTCAACACTCAGATGAAATAATCAGGAACTTGTTATTACCCAGAATGCTTCACTATGTTTAACAGTGACGCTGGCCTCCTGCCACTCGTCCCCTCTGTTTCCTGTCTCAATCCACTTCAGAATCCCTTCTTCATTGTCACCAGCGTGTGTTTTTCTACGAGACAGCGAAGTATACACTGTTATCAACGTGCGCTCCGTGTTCAATGCTGCAACTCGCTCGACGGCGGCGGCTAGTCACCTGTCATTTATGTAAACTCTGAGAGTCCCGACGTGGCTGCCGTACATGTGGTACCAGAAGGTCAGACAGTGACCTCTGGGGGACGGCTGGAACACTTCGCTGACCAGGAAGGACAAGTCTCCCCACTCGCCCACGGAGCTGTCCACGTACAGATAGAAACCTGGTGGGTAGGTGGGATCATAGATGTAAAGGCTAGATGTACGTCCGCACATGGCGGCCATCTTGGTAGTGGAAGCTCACTCACCCATAACACTGTGTTGGTAGTGATACATGTACTTTTTAAATAACCATAACTTGCTCAATTTTCAACCGATTTTTAAACGGTTTGGTTTGATATAAACGTCGGAGATGTAGCTATTATTGAAAGTCCATGTACCTGCGAACCGCCCCTATCAAGATGGCCGCCATGTGCGGATGTTCTATACTCCACCGTAAGACATCTAGCCTTTATATATGTATCTATGGGTGGGATGGTATCTCAAAAATAACAACTGTCCTATTTCCCTCAGAAGTTGTGATTTACCATCTGTACTTTAACAAGGCTGCAGGGGAACTCGTCATGATGAAGTTCCCTGTGAGTTTCCATGAATCAGATTATTAAGCGTGCGCGTGTTTTTACCGTGTGTCGAGTTGGTGGTGTGGTCGACGCTGGGCCCCGTGTTGGGGTTCGGGGAGGCTCCTCTACCACGGAGCCAGTCCCCCTGGTCGACTCCCCCCCCCAGGTTGCTCCAGCTGCACCAGTTGCTCTCAAAGTCGCAGTGTCCCGGAGGAGGACATTGAGTGTCTGTGAGCTGTACGTCGTCAAAAGCCATGTCTCCCTCCTGGGTGGGGCCGGCCTTCACGCCTTCCACCACGATCTGGAACGCGGAGCGTGTTTAAATATCCACATATTTTAGTTTAAAGTCAGTGTTGTGGAGGTGAGATCACATTTTAGTTTAATGTGCATGAGGTTTAGAGACATCAATATACTTGTTTTAAGAAATATTCTCTGTGGATTATTCAGATTTTGTGAGATTTGCTAATTCATTTGTACTTTGAGTGACGTATTCCAATACAACTATGTTACATGTCAAAGTCCTGCATTCAAAATGTTACTTTATTATGTGCTCATTCGGATTATTATCTGGAAAAAGTATCAAGTGGAAGTTTTCCTCTGAAATATAGTGTAGTTAAAGTAAAAAAGGTCCCAACTGAAGTGCATCTGTGTTAAAAATGTATTCAGGTAAGAACCTTAGTAAATATACTTATTTACTTTCCACCATTGTCCATGTATATCTCATGGACGGTGGTCTCGAGTGGGGCCTTGTGACTCACCCTGTAAGGCTGAACCCGGGGCAGAAGGGAGGCCTGAGCAAACCTCCAGAGCCGACCCTGGTTTCCTGTCTGAGAGAAGATCAGAGCTCGCTTCCCTTCTTCACTCTGCTGGTAGACGTTCAGCAGCCCCGTTCCTCTGCCGTACATGTGGTACCAAAGCTGCAAGCAAGCTCCTTTGCCTGAAAGGCCCGAAGAAGAAAAACCGGATAAATCACCGACTTGAGCTCAAGTCTTTTACACGCCTTGTAAACCGCTTATGTCCAGAAATTTGTGTTTTACTGCTGTTCTGATACAATACATCTAGCAATGATAGTGGACATATTGTACTCTGTCCACTATGGTTATTTGAACTCTCTGCTCTAGGGTTTGGTAGAGCCCATCGTGAGTCATTATACATTATAAAAATATGTATAGGCCCTAACTGAACCTGATTAAGCCATCTCTATTACTTGTATTGAGCTATGCTGTTGTAGATAAGATAAGATACGATTATTATTGCCCAGAAGATAAAAATGGAAATAAATTGTTTCTACTTGGTGAGGACATTAAAGGGCTTCGAGAAACAGTGTCTGAAACTAAATAAACAATTTGCTGCAGTGAATTATCAATATCTTAATCCATAATTAAATAATCTTACATAAAATAGTTGAAAATGCTACTTCGACATGTGTAATAATAATCATGGCATTGAGGTAGTTAGCAAATAATCATCCTCGTTATTATTATTTAATGCATTATTAATATTAATACTATGTTGACCCAGGGTCCAACTGTCCACCTAAATATCTGGTGTGTCATCACGACTATGACATTCCACTAAATGTGTCAGTGACACATTTAGTGGAATGCGGTGCGTGGAGGTCACCGTGTCAGTCATCAGTGCCGACTGACCGACATAAAATTGTGAAATATACAACAAACAACACACGAAGTGAATCTATTCTCAAGTGAATTGATGTACTTTCACGAGCAGAACCACGCTGTGGTTGCAGCTCAACGTGACCGTCTCACCCGCTGGGTACAGTGGAGACGACATTTTGGCCGTCTGTCCCGCGGCGTCGGCAGCGGAGGAGGGCAGGCAGTAGTAGTGGCCCGCGGGGGTGTTGGTGGTGTGGTCGCTCTCCGGCCCCGTGTTGGGGTTGTGGGTGGAGCCCGACATTCTGACCCAGTCAAAGTCATCGGTGGTCCCCTGCTGCCAGCCGCAGCTCCCCTCCTCGAAGTCACAGGCGTCTGCAGGGGGATGTTTGGGAAGCATTGTGACTCCTACGCATACCTCAATCACAATCTGTGGTTTAAAAGGCCTTTGACTGATCATTTTGGTCTTTACGGAGTGGTTGACAACAAGACTTATGCTTTATCTTTGGGTGTACCAAGACGTCGCTATCACCCGAGATACGACCACATAAATGTGCTGACAGTAAGTACGTGAAGGTGAGATAAGGCACCTCCATTATCGCCTCTTCTTTGAGGGGAGAATAAAAGACTTAAGCGAACCACAACGTCAAAGTTGAGTTTTTTTTTTATTTTTTATTACCAGACGCAGGACATGGTCCACCGACGAGAGAGATGTCATCGATTGCAATGTCTCCTGCTTCTCCCCCCACAGTGGCTTCCAGGATCACTTGGTGGACATTCTGCGAGGTCACGTGGCTCTGCACTCGCAGCCACTCATCCCCTTGATTTCCTGAGTTTTGCCAAACCTGCGGGAAAGACAGGAAGGCGGCTGATTCACCCGTCACAATGAGGATGTGAGGAGGTTTTTGCAACATCTCTGTATGGGCTGAAACTGTGCAGCTTGCACCCGTAATGCGACGCATTGATGCTATTTTGCAATCAGCATTTCACAACTACATGAAAAGTATAATAAGAGAGACAAAACCCAGTGGGAGGAAACACAAATATTTCTCAATTGACCGTTTTTTTTTAACGGCATAGTAAAGGGAAGTGAAGTGTCCAGACTGTCCAAAAAGTCCTTATCTGAGCTATGTTGTCTCTCTGCTTGTTGCAAAAAAATGAAGAAAAACCAACGCATCTTTTTACCAATGTTTTCTTCAAAGGTTCAGCCGTTAGTAGAAGCATCCTCAAGGAGCCGGCAGTAGCTCCGAACATGTGGTACCAAAAGGTGAAACAGTATCCTTGGTCCCCAGCAGACGGCAGCAGCGTGGACTTCAGCTGGGCCACGTTTCCCTTCACACTTGGCCGGGAACTTTTGATGTAAATGTATTTACCTGTGAAACAATCGGAACCATTAATGCTAAACCTTTTACGGCTTCCCAGCCTCAGCGCAGAGACGTGAGCTTCTATGAGCTGAGAAGAACTCAAGCAAAAGAAATATTTGGAAACGACAAGATCTTAAACTAGAAGAAGAAATCTTCTTTGTGACTTGGGCAATCATCTTGTCACCGTCGTACGGGAACCAACTCATTGTCATCAATTTAAAGTCGGATTCCTACCAGAAGTTGTGACGTAAAGTTCCTCCTTTAAATAAAAACATGAATCCGCAAGAAATAATATTGAGTCATTTTTTACTTAATGACTCCCCTCTTTTTGGGAATTGTTGTACAAACTGTTGGGACTGCATCACATGTAATTAATAAGCGGCAAACACTACTATCACGGTATTTAAATAATGCTTTACTACTTTTGGGACGGTCGTGTGGAGTAAGAGCGACCTTTGCCGGTGGTGTGGTCTCCTGCAGGCCCGGTGTTGGGCGTTTCTGTGGGTCCAGAATTGCTGAGCCAGTCCAGCTCATCTTCGGCCCCCTGGACCCAAACACACAGCCCGTCTTCAAAAGAGCAGCCACCGGCCGCCAGAGCTGAGGAGGGAAACGCAGTTTAAAGAGGAGCCGCCCATGCCGCCATTAAATATCCACGCCACTTACCCGGCGGCGGGTAGGATATTTCACAGTTGATGAATGAGATGTCGTCCACAGCAGCGGCGTTGAGCGCGCTGAACCAAACCTGCCGATAGAAAATTGATAAATTCCTGCTTGTGAAAGATCAGTGTCCTCCACCACAAAAGACACACATAATACCCAACGGACGTGTATCGAATGTAACCCAGTTTCCAACATTTGCACACTATCCCTTCTATCCCTTAAAACTATTGTACATTTCTATATGCAGTATTTCAAATCATATATTTATGTGTTTTAAAACACATTGTACATGTATTAATTTCGAGATGTATGTTTTTGTATTAAATCAAATCAAACTATTTCAGACTTCCAGGTCCAGATAGTACAAAACATTAAAGATGATCAGTATTAGTTCTCCTTTCATTGTTAATACACAGATGGTGTCTCAGTGAGGTGCTGGACCAACACAAACCGCCAAAACAGTCAACCACCCCCAGAGGTATTGAATTGAAATGGGAGCATTTTTAATTGACAAGGCTGCCGCAGTCATTGAAAGAGGATTGTAACGTAACCGTTGCACTTTCCGGTAGCTACTCGAGCGCACACCTGATACGGCTGCTGGTGCCGGCCTACAGGCACACGCTCTGGGGTCCAATCGGCGCCAGTGTTGTGACTGCGTGTCCAAAGGATTGCTTCACTCCCGTCAGCTTGCTGCATAAGCACTCTGAGTGACCCAGAACTCGCTTCACTTATGTGGAAGTGAAACCTGCGTTTTTGGAAAAGAAGGAAGGAAGAAGGGGAGCGTTGGATTGGGGAGAGAATTGCGAGGCAGAAAGAGGAGGGTGGTGCTGCGGAGGGTTGTGCAACTCACGCTTCCGATGTCCAACCGTGGATCAAAACAAATATTTCACACATTAGGGGCGATAGTGATAGAAGTCGTATCGATCGCTTACAGAATCTGGCAGTAGAGGGAGGAAGGGGCAAGTGGGGGACTCTGCAGTCGGGCCTCAGTCTGTGTGGACTCCCGACTCAAATTCACTCTCATGTAGTAGCCTGAGAATGGAAAAAATCATGCAGGCAGCGGAGTGAAGTTTATGCTTATTATTCCAGATCATCTGACACGTTATCCTTTTAGCAATAAACTATTCAACGAGTGAATAAGCCGCTAAAGTCACCTGTCCCTGCAGTGTGATCGGTGGGAGGCTCAGTGTCGTTACTGGCTCTCTGTCTCTGCCACCGGCCGTGTCCATCACTGGTGTCTGTCCACTCGCACTGGTCCCTCTCAAACGTGCACCCACCTGAAGGTTAGAGACGAGGCGTGAGAAAAGAAGGAGGCGAATGGGTTCAGCAATCACAACATTTGTCACAAATCTGCTTTTGTGACATTTTGTGAATGTAATAAAACTACTATTCCCAATTGCTTTGTCTGTACACATTTCATCTGGCAGGAAAACGTCAGTGATCACATGATTAGTCTTCACATTCACTTTAACCTGCATGCTCAATTGATCCCATTCTCCACACACTAGTTAGCACCTTACTTTCAATCTACCAGCCTGGTAATTAATCAACCAAAAAAACCCAACTGTTATTGTTCGATATTGTACTGCTCAGATGGGGAGACATGCGTCTCACCGCAACCATCCTCGTCCTCCGCCTGCGGGCAGTCTGGATGGTAGTCGCACCGTAGAGCTGCCGGGATGCAGACTTTATCAGGTGACCGCCAGCAGAGGAACTCGCCATCCTGCAACGCCAAAGACAGACGGACGCTCCGTAACGGATCACTGAAGGCTCTCGCTGAGATTGAGCTTCACAGGCAGGAGGTTGTGTTGTGAAGACGTTTACCTGACAGGGTGCAGTAGCAGAGGTGGGCGGGGCCGAGGTGGTGGATGGGTCGGGAAGTTTGTTGTTGTCGGGGTCGAAGAGACACTCCCTTGAGAAGGAGACGTCATCCAGCGCGACCAGCCCTCCGAGACCATCCCCGCGCTCGTACCTGAACACAATCTGAGCAGGACACAGTCTTTTCTGAGTTATGGCCGACAACGTGTCTTCCCGAACACCACTTGTCCACGTCCACCAAATTAAGATCAGTTCATCCTTGAGTGGACGTTCGGGCCGAAGTTGAACAAATATAATAAAAAGACTCAATTCTTTTATTGCTGTGTTTGCATTTGATGTGATATAAAATAAAATACACACAAAAGAGTGAAATCAGTCTTCATGAAAGGCTATTAAATAGATTTACCTGTATTCATGATCCAAAATAATTGATCAAGTTAACGAATCTGAATGATCATAAATGAGGCCGCGGTTGACCCGAAGCTCAGTCCAACTGACCTTGCTGTTGACCGAGGAGGAGAACGTGACCTCTGCCCTCCGCCAGCTGAAGCTCTGTGAGTTTTCCCAGCACCACAACAAAGCGTCCCCACTGCCAGAACGCAGCATCCTGGACCGCGCCGTCAGCCTCGCCGTAACATCGTCCAGGCCGAAGTAGAAGAATCTCACCTACAGCAAAGGGAGGTGCAGAAAAGGAGGTCGTGATGAGCTTCACAAGCGTGAATGAATCACTTCATTCCATTCGAGTACGATGGACTCGATGATCACTGAACCGGGATCAGAAGTACTTGTTTGTTAAGCTTGTAAACGCATCTCACTCACGGTGCAGTTGGAGCTGGGTAGCAAAGTTTTGGAGAGAGTCTCTGATGTTTCGCTGTTCTCAATCAGGTTCCCCGGCACGGCGTAGTGACCTGGAAGAATCATTGTTATGTGCTCATATGACGTTTACTGGGGTGGGATTCCTCCCATAAGCACTAACAGTGCATTAACCCTCTATACCCTTCTACCCCTCCACCACGAGGGTTCAATACCTGCGTCAGAGTTGTAGGTGTGATCCCTGGGAGGCCCGTGTTTGGGCCACGCTTCCTGTCCTCTGTGATGCGTCCACCCAACCGCAGCTGTGTCCACCTCGTTCTTCTCCCAGAAACAAAGGCCTTGTTCAAAGCTGCAGCGCTCAACCACACCCCGTCGCTCTGCATTGTTTTCAATGGAAAAAGGGAGACAAGTTATAGATAGATACTCAAGGACAACAACCGTGGAATCTTTAGGGCTGCAGTTCTGATCGACTAATCTGCTGGTTATTTCCAGTTAGTCGATTCATTTGTCTATAAAACGTGGGAAAACAATGACAACTGCACTGTGGCCCAAGGTGTGGTCTTAAAGACTGCGACACTAGAGAAGCTGTGAACAGTAGATTATAATAATCCTCAGGAAACAAGAATAAAAACAGCAACTGCGATTTTCTCTCCATAAATGAATTGACTTATTGTTGCAGTTCTATTTATGTGTAATATATTTTTACAAAGCCACACAAACGTCAACATACAAATGTAAATTATTCAGGAAGGATACTAAAAAGTGATGACAGATGTTTAAAAACTTTAAAGAAGAATAAGAGATCAGTGAAGGAAACATATTCATCTTTCAGGGAGTGTTTAAATTTAAACTACCCCCCATTCAAATATACTATTCATCTGACTGTACATCAAGATGTGCTTGAGATTCAAGCCTTTAACAGAAGTGTTCAGGAAAAGGGGAAGCACACAGGCAGCGCCTTTACAAATATTTCATAATAGTGCACCGAGTATTTCTAACACATTTAACATGAATGATGTCTCACCACAGTTTCTCTCATCAGACCAGTCCCCGCAGTCATCGCTGAAGTCACACACTCGGCTGTGCTCAACGCACACACTGTTGTTGCACACAAACGTATTGGGCGGACACGAGGGTTCGGGCTCTGAGAGGGAAACCACAAAAACATTTAATGAATCAGCTTCAAAACTGTCGCCGGCTGTGTGCAGACAGAGCGGGTCGCCCACCAGGCAGCGTGCAGTTGGTGAAGTGGATGTCGTCGATGGCGACGTGTCCAGGCCTGTTGAAGGACCTGCAGGCTTCAAACAGCACGGTGAAGTCCTGGGGAATTCGACCAACCGTTACCTCAGCGGGGTGCCACGCGTCTCCATGGTTACCGGATAGCCACCACAGTGCAGTGGTCCTCGAGCCCTCGTTGAGAAGCACATTCAGCATCTCTCCGTCTGTAACAAAGATCACAGATTGCAATTTTTTTTGGGGGGGGTCTTCATTGATACGACTCTGGAGGCAGCTATATGATAAGACCACAGGCACTTTGTCGTTGACTTGAATATTAAGAACATACCCTCTCCATTCATGCTGTAGTGGAAGTGCAGCGTGCAGGTGGCGCTGGCCTGTCTCATGGGGGGACTGTGCACGGCAGCAAGACTCACATCATCTCCTCGTTTAGGCGCCACAGCCAAGTACCAACCTGGAACAACCAAAGAAATACCTTTTGCAGATTGCGTCGCACCTTTTTAAAATCTTTCGAAGAGGTTTAGGCGGTAGTGGCGCAAAAGGTGGTGCAACATTTTCATTTGCAGTGTATTTCTAGGTGTGATGACAGTGGAACAAACAGCATAATTCGGTCAAAAAGCTGTGAGGTGTAGATTTGAGCTTTAGCATTAAAATCAACAAATCCAAGCCAGAACAGGATGAGGATGCAGCGAGAATATGGCCAACGTTGCAACGATACGAACTGTAAAAGGGGAAACGGTTTCAGCCTGTTCAGCATATCTGCTTATAAAGCTTCCTTTAACTTAAAAAAAAGAGGTTTTACTTTTTACTACAATAAACAAAACAACTTTTTATGATCAGTCATCATTACAAAGGCTCTGCGTTTCTCTCTTTATGGGGGATTGTTAAGCATGAAGGTGGATGGTTTATTCTTTGAGTCTGTCCAGTCCGTGCGCTCCAAGTCGGTCCAGATGCAGATAACATGTAGGCAGAAAAGGGGGGGGGGTGTTGGTGTGTGGCCATACCCAGTTCAGTGCTCAATGTGTTGTCCACGGAGGGTCCAGTGTTCCCAGTGCCATTTCTGCCCCTCGTCCACTGACACTGGCCCGAACTGCGGTCGTCCCAGCCACAGGTTCCGTTTTCAAATGAGCAACCCACAAATCCCAAATCCGTTTCATTCACTTTGAGAATGAAAAAAAAGAAAAATGTCAGATTGTCAATCATACTTCAGTAATTAGCGATACGACATTAAGGCATCAGCACCTTGACAAGGGCCCGGTGCCACGATGACGTCGTCTACGGCAATAAATCCTTTGCTGTTGCTCTCCGCTTCGATCAGCAGCTGAGCACGAGGTCGTTGAGGGAATCAGTGAACATCATCTTCTCAGTGATATTATTATTTTTTCTTTTACCACGGAGCCTTTTGTTGGATTACCTGGAAAGGTTTCATCGTCTCCACCGTGTGAGAGAACCTGGTCCAGCCGCTCGCGCTGCTGTTACTGTTGAACACCAGGTGGTCCTGCGACGGCCCTGAACGCATGTACACCTTCAACGTCCCAGAGTCGCTGGCAAACGACACACACACACACACACATACGTTTGATACGTGAAACCCTCGGTTAAAAGCATTTGTTTTGTCTTAGAAGTTAACACAGTTTTTTTATACGACTCAAACAGTTCTGTGGTCAGCGTGAACGCTGACACTGAATAAGGTCGGTCTTGCTCAAAGGGGAAGAGGCAGGTGATTCACCGTTGAAATGACTTTTGTGCACATTTCAGAGGAAGTGGATGAGGAAACCAGACAGGATGAGGGGCATCAGCTGCATCGTCACACACTGTACGGTGTTGGTAATTTTATTTTGCTGACCTGCCGTCCGTATGGTACCACAAGGCGACGCAGGAGGTGACGTCTCTCAGGTGGATCCATTCGGACATCACCTGCGCTTTGCTGCTGTGGTTCTGGTGCATTGATGAGCTCAACAAGAACCGGCCTGAATTCAAAGATGTGAATGGAAATAAAGATAAGAATAGTGCCAAGAAGACCATGCAATACCAGATTATTGCATTGTTATTATTTAGGTATTTAAATGTGAAAGGTGTATGTGCATGTGTCTGATACAAGACCTTTTTATTTTAGGTAAAAAACAATCGGCATTTTGTGTGAATTATTCTCCGTTCTGCTTATTTTGGCAGTTGGAACTCTGAGTGCAGCAGGGTCACTGCTAGTAAGAAAACGTCATCATTTCTATTGATTTTCAATCCTTCTCACAACATTTTTTATGAACAGAACATTTTTTATGTGGCAACAGGACAGAAAAAACAAGAAGTTGATAAGTAACAGAGTGTGCTAGTTGAACAGCAGCTGCTCATATTAAACATAGATTGCAACATTGCCAGTTGCAACTAACTTGACCTTATATTATTAAACTGGAGTCACCAACATACACACTGCATTTACTCCTGAGGTTTTAGTGGGTAGAATCTAAAGGTGCTTTAGATGTGCATGTTTAATTCACCATATTGAGGTGTATTTAAAGATCTTACCCTCTGCGGTCTGAGTGGTGTGGTCTGTCGGTGGACCCTGGAAGCCTCCACTGGCCAGCACCCAGGCATGTCCATCTTCTTTGGGGATATTGACCCAAGCACACTGTCCAGACTCAAAGTCACAGCTGCCTGGAGGCCTGCAGGTCCCGTCCCTCACGGAAATATCATCCAATTTCACCGTAGAGTTGCTACCTGGCACATGGAGTGCTTTAAACACGACCTGGTATGAATATAATATATTTAAAACACAGGTTTGCACTTTAGGAAGTCGCTACGAAGGCGAAAGGCCGACTGGAGTGTGAAAAACTCTCACATGGAAGTTTCCAGGCGAGGACACAGTGACCTCTGCTAACTCCCAGTTTGAAGTGGCCGCTCCGGATCGTTGCCAAAGTTCTTCGCCCACCTCCCCGCTGAACAGCACATGCACGCCAAGGGTGTTAGAGGACCCTTCAGGTATCCAGTACCTAAACAAGCACAGTGGAAAGACACATAGTACAATCAGCAGGGGACAAGTGTGTGTGTGTGTGTGTGTGTGTGTGTGTGATGGCAAGAAGGGACTCACCAGAAGCGCACACATATCTCCATAGCCGAGGGGAAATTGGGTGTTAGGAGCTCAGCTACTTCAATCTGTGTGGAGTCCGATGTCATCACAGTCATGTAGAAACCTGAGCAGAGATTTACAATATTTGCATGTTTCTTCCTTCACCTCGACAGTCAACAACTACAGTAAATGTATCATTAATCAAATAGCTACAAGGGACCTGTAAAAACAAATAAAATGTGCCTTCATCCACTTGTTGTGAGAATGGGACTGGTCTCAGTTGGCAGTTCTCTTCTCACCATTTTCAGTTCCGTACGTGTGATCCACCTGATGTTCAGAGCCTCTTTCGCGACCCCAGCGACCCTTGCGGTCCACAACGTTCTCAAAGCCACACCAGCCGGAATCGAACCCACACACGTCTGAAAGGGGGTTAAAAAGGGGCCAATGTCATAAAAATCTCTCTTTGTTTGATTTCCTGTGAACATCGAGCGAAGGTGTGTGTGTTTCCGTACGCTGATCACTGCAGGGCCCCTCCTTCACTCGAATGTCATCCACGGCGATGAATCCTCGACTGTTTCTGTTCCTGTGGCCGGCGAACGTCACCTGTCGACGTCCAGCATTCAATACAGAAACGTCAATGTGTTTTCTTTATTAAATACAAAGCTGGTAATGTTCAGTAAAACTGCTTCTGTTCGGCATTCTGTCTTGATGAAACTAATGAGGAGCCTAAAGAAATAAAGGAATTTCTTGTGCAGATTTGAGCCAGACTGAGCAGCCAAAATCAGCTTAATATATATGTATATATATATATATATACTGCATATATATATATATATATATATATATAGTATAACGTTATATGTCAATCAATAATTAACAAGTGTTTGCAGAGCAGAAATACCGATGATGCGTTTTAGCTTTCTTTATCAGTCTTCAGTAAACTCTCATTAAACAATTGAAATTCCTTGAAGCCTTCATAAGCTTGATATTGTTTAAAAACTGTTTATTATCTATCTGTAAAAGTTCCTGTTTTGTATCCACATTCTCAAAATTAACTTAAAAAATCAAATGTATGTGTGTTTTTACGGGTTAGTGTACTACGATATGTGTTTTCATCTCACATATAGCTTTTGGTTTTCGTTTTTACTTTCAAATATTGATACATGTGACTGAGTGGATTTTTACCCGTGTGATATCGCTCATGTTGACGGTGACTTGAGCGTTGATCCACTCCGGACTCTGAGTCCCCCGACGGGTCCACACTAACAGCTCAGAGGAGCTCTGGAACAAAGCGAGTCATTTACAGCCCCGGAAGCGAAGGAGCGCGTGACAGAAGCTCTGGAGTAACGTGCGCGCGTACCGTCTCGACCAGCAGGTCCAGAGCGGACACCGACGGCCCGAGCATGTAGAACCAGAAACCCACACAGATGTTTGACGTCAGGTCGACGGCGGGGACGGAGACGGCTGCTCTCTCCCCGTCCTTAGATCCAGATCCGTTCAACAGTAAGAAAAAACCTTGGCGGGGAGGGAAAACGCAAAGAGAGGGCTACAATACCGTGACGCAGATCACTAAACAGAGCATCAGATTAGCAACAAAAGGCTGTTTTGACGTGAGGTTCATTTCCCGAGCCTCTGTTCTAAGTTTATGTCCAGTGTTAATGAAATACTGCAGGTGTTGGTGCTCGGGTTATTTCCCTTAGTCAATACCTCGATAGTTCCCAACAGTGTGATCATCCTGAGGTCCATCCCATGGCTGGTCCCCCATAAGTCCACTGCTGAGAATCCAGTTCAAATCATCACTGGCCTCCTGAACCCAGTTGCATAGACCTGTTCACCAAAGCGTGATTTGAAATGTTAAAGCACTTTGTTTGTGCATGTAGACGATATTAAATGTAATTGAAGCTATACAAATATCCAGATTAAGTAAAAGTGTAAAAGTCAAAAATTCAGAAATTGAAAGATGAAATTTATGATAAAATATATAGTATAAGTTTGGAATTAGGCCACTTCCATTACAATTTATTTTTGACCCTGGACCCTTTAGGACACAACAATAAGAGGCGATTCGCGGCCTCTGAGGTCACCTCCTTCGAAGGTGCAGTCCATGTCGGAGGCAGGAGCAGTGGGGGTCGGGGCGGGAGGGTTTGGAGTGGTCGTCGGGACAACGTCATTACAAGAACTGCCCCTGATGATGTGGATGTCGTCCAGCGAAAAGGCACAGCTCAAAGATGAAGAGGAATTGGCTCGCAGTATTATCTGTGAAGTACGTTGTTCATGTAGTTTATTTCCTCAAGAAACATTGTCAGATTCAGATCATGAAAGTGTAATATGGGTCTTGCCTGGTGAGGCCCTGACGCGTTGTAGTCCACCCGGTCCTGCATCCACGGCTTATTGGAAAATCCATTTGTAGTCCAAACGGGGCGCAGTCCAGTAGTCTCATTCACCAACACGTTTAGTGTAATGTCTGAGGGCCCTGGAAATATTTGATGTATTTTAATCTTTTTAATGATGAGACAAAAAGATAAAGATTATTATACTGGGGCAATTGAATCTATAATGCGGCGTGCAAAGCAGAGCACTGTTAAAGTTGTTAGTTTTATTTGCAAGTCTTCAGTATAGGTGCGTCTGCTAACTTTACGTACCAGATCCCCACCCTCCAGCTCGGTGCCAGATCTCCAGGCAAGCTCGGTCCACTGCCGCCATGGTCTCACTCTCCAGTTGTGCAACGCCTTCGCCACCAGGCAGATGTGAGAAGGTGGCAAAGTGGCCTGTGGAGTGAAAAAAGACACCTTATATCCAGATCCACATGGGGGGGGGTGGAGGCCGGCGTAGACATATCACACTATCGTCCATTGAAACGTTGTATGCGAGCTGCTGTCATCCCTCCCTTCTTGTTTATATGTTTATGAAGGGATATCTCCCTTTGTAAGAGATGTGCAACAGAATCTACACTCTTAAGTCAATCTGAACCTTCAACGGTCCGAGGTCACGATTCAAGTTGGTACCTGCCAAAGTCACAATTACTTGGATGTGAAAATGTTCCTTATGTTAGCATCTCTACTGCAGCTAAATAAGGTTACAGTGTCCCTGGGAAAGACACAGAGGGAGTTTTATTCCAATGAGGCTGTAACTTTGGAAGATATTTGCTTGGTTTATCAAACTGCCGGAGCCCCGTGTAACAGAAGGACTGTCGATTTTTGAAGGAGGACAAGAGCTCAGTTTTAACATTGTTCCTTAGACAGACTTGAAGCATTGTGGAGCTTTCCTACAATCAAAGTTTCCCTTTTCAGCCTGTCTGAAGTGCAAGATCCCTGTTTTTCTCTCTTTTGTGTGGACTGTAATGCGGGTCAAAGAACATGAGGCGCCTAACCCAAAGCAGAATTTGTCGTGTGGTCCTTATTTGGAACATGTTGACCCTCGCTGGCCCCTGAGAGCCAGTCCCAGTCCACGTGGGACCCTTCTGCAGGACTGTTCACCCAACCACAGAAGTCCATTTCAAAGTCACAGAATCCTGCAAAAAGTAGCACATACACACAAAAAGCACAATGCAATCGAAACGTGACACTACTTGTAATTTCTCAGCCGTCTGCTTTTTTTTTAGCTTTAGAGTTTGAAGTTGGCGGCAGTCACTAACCTGGTGGAGGACAGGCGCCATTCAGGACCGTGAGGTCGTCGATGGCGATATCTCTCCTGATTGTTTGTCCGCTATCTCCAACCACAGCCTCAAAGACCACCTGTCACTCAGAACGACAATTTATGCCCCCACAACTCACACTGTATTTCCATTTGTACGACTGTAAAATCTGAGCTGATGAAGTGATGCTTATTCTACTTTGGTACTAAATATCCTCTTAAGGTACAGAATAATGCATACAAAATGAGCATGTGGTTTGAACGCGATTGTTGTCTTTAGAATTAAAAGAAAAGTGTGAACAAACTACCTGATACGGGTCATTGGGACTCAGCAGAGTCACCCTTCCGTGCCTCCAGTGCCGTCCCTGATCTCCACTTCTGCTCCACAGCTGCACACTGTCGCTGCCGAGGGTTTGGAGGGAAACACTGAGTTCCCCCACTTCCCCTCCCTCCATGTAGTACCAGAACATTAGGCATTCCCCATCAGCAGCAGTGGGCTCCATCACCTCAGTCATCACTGCGCCTCTGGACCCCACAAGGTGACTCCACAACCGGGCACTCAGGTAGAAACCTGCCCGTTGAGGCGGAGTTGTGAACATGCTGCTCTATATCGGATGTAACTTATTTATTTCCGGGGTCTCCGGGGTCTCGTGTACCTTGCTCAGTCCCCAGCGTGTGATCGGCGGACGGGCCTGAAGAGTTGGCGGGTTGGGACGCCCCGGTGATCCGGCTCCAGCTGAAGTCTGCGGACGGTTGGGGCAGCAGGCCGCAGAGGGAGCCCTGGAAGGTGCACTCTCTCTCGGGCGGACAGGAGCCCGTCTCACTGCTGTGCACCGTCACGTCATCAATGGCGATGCTGCCCTGCGTTCCTCCCACCACGGCTTCTATAACGAACTGGAGCACACGTTGACTGAAATAAGAGGCTTGTGTTTGAGAAGGCACCATTGACTTTTCTTTGAGAAAGTCTTCATGGCAAAATGTTGAATCATTTTAAATTGTAAATCTTAAGCACGAGACAATGTCCACTCAAGCCACATGACGGTAAGGGGCACATCTCTCTCACTAGGAAAGTTAATAGAACAAACACTAATTGATGTGTTTAAAAGAGGACCTTTTTCAGATGTTATTCAAAAGATTGTCCCTTTTTCTTGAAATAAAGGCATTGAGTTCATTCTGCTCGGATCAATTTGAATCATGGAAAAGATTGTATTTGTTTGGTATATTCCAGGTTCAATGTTCAAACTAAAAAAATGAGAAAATATTGTTTAAATGAATTGGAAATTCATTGTTGATTTTATACGATCGATGTTCAGAGGAAAGCTTAGTAAAAAACGTTTATAATAATATAAAATAATAATATATTGCCCATTTCTAAATACTCCTCTAAAAACCTTTACTGTTATAAATCAATGGAGGAGTAAACACGGAAACAGAGTAATATGAATACCTGTATTGGTTTGTCACTTTTGAAGGTAAGATCTGTAAATCTCCATTTGTTCCCCTGGGTGCCACTTCTCATCCATACAACCGTCTCCGTTTCCCCAGAATGCTTTGTAATGAACTTCAATGAACCTAATAGCAAAAATAAAAGCATCAACAGAGCTTCTGCATTGAAGGGATGGATGCGTGTTACAGTGAAAAATCAAAAGTGTTAAAATGCATCTCAATGGTTTAGATCTTGGAGGTAGCTCTTTTTTTTGTGTTCACCTCTTAATTCAGTTTAAGCTCATTTATTATCTAATACGCTTGAATGTGTAGCCAGTGAGGCACTTACCTATGCTGTTGCCAAATATGTGGTACCAGAAGCTCACACAAAGGACTTGACCTGCAGGCTGAGGGAAGCTGATGAGTCTGGCTGTTGATGAGATATGGTTGGATCTGGCATTTATGATCATGAAGTAGCCTGCGGGGGAAGAAGGAGAAAAATGAGTAACACATTAGTAATACAGAAAGTGCCACTAATGCACATTATATACCACAATGAGCCTTGTAAAGGCCTTTGATATTAATCATTAATACTGAGCTTTGTGAATTGCACTAAAATCTCTCGAATCAAGATGCGGCAGAGGAACAGGCGGAAGAAGTAATTGTCAAGAATTTTCATTAACAGTCAGCAAGACACTCACCCTTTGCAGGTGGGACTTCATCGAATGCCATTTTACTCCTTTTCCACAAAAGGCTGGCAGTGTAGTCGTGGTTCCATGAGCAGGTGTCTTTTTCAAAATCACAGGAGAGTTGGTTCGATCCGGTGGGGAAATCTCCGTCTCTACAGTAGTCAAAGCTGACATCATCCAACATAACGTCGCTGTCCACACTGAATGCCGGGCTGAAGGAAAATCGCAGCTGTAGAAAGAGAATTGTTTCACTATTTATTCTGAAAATCAATATTTCAAATCATTCAGGATTTAGAAATAATACATTTTCTTGAAAAAATGAGCCTCTACTGATCACCCAGCGTAGTTTACTCCCTGTTCATAATAACTTCAAGCAAAGGTTCCATAGAACATAGAACACATACTTTACATATATAATAGCTTCATTTAGCCTTGGACCAGACCCCCGGCCTTGGTTTGCTTTGTGTTGGCATAGCAACAAAAAAATGAACCAAGTAAAATGATTAAACCTAAAGCGCTGTATTGATCCCCAGAGGGAAATCCGTTGTTATACAAGAAGGAGGAACAGAGCACATAAAAATACAATAAATGTAGAAAGGCAATAAAGAGGTGAGGAGAGATAGCCAGTGACGTGACGATTAACCATAGCTACGGATCCAGTGATGTACGCACTTTTTATTTTATTCTGTATCTGTTAAGGTATTTGCAATTAGCAGCAATAGAAGTAGTAGAAGAAGAAGAAGAAGAAGAAGAAGAAGAAGAATTCTCCCGCGCCGATCAATGGACGACAGTGTGATATGTCCATGTCTGCGAGCAACATAAACTCGTACAGGAGATTTCACTGACCTTGTATCCGCCCGGCTGATTTCCAATGAAAACGGTGGCATTCTCCCAACCGTTGGTCTTTATTTTAGAAAGCTTCAGCAGCTGTTCCTCAGCGTGGCCTCTGATCATCGTTACCTCAAAGGACGATGCTGATGAGGTTGACGACGTATTGTAAATGTGATACCAGAAGCTGAAAAACAAATCAGAAAAAACAGCTGGCGCAGGATTTGCAGCAGATTCAAGATACTGAACTAATTAAAACTTTTTATCAATTAAGAACATATTTATTCAAAGCAACAATAAAAATAAAAATAATTTTAAAAATATTGTTTTTTTTGTACCTCATCTGGCATCCCAGAGCTGCCACGTTGTCAACTGAATACTCCAATTCAGCCGCACCAAAAACAGTGCTTTGGTTGCTATTTATGTGCATGACATGTCCTGTGTCCGGCAGACAAACATCCAATGATAAGATTACCATCAAAGGCTTCATCTTGTAATTTAATCATTGTCAGCACAGATTTGAAATGTGACCGTATCCATTCTAAAGTAATTACACAAATGAAACATGGCAGGAGGGTTAGTATTCACCAAACGGCTTTCCTGTGGTGTGGTCCAGTCCAGGTACCGAGGTGATGTTTGCCATCTGCCGCGTCCAGCGGTAGGAGCTGCTACTGACGTCTTTCCACCCGCAGCTGTGATGCTCAAAGTCACACGGCCCTTAACAAGGAGCGGCGGCACAGATTGAGTCAGAAAGCATTTGCGGATTTTGTGAAACAACCAAAGAGCATTCTTGTGAAAATGTATATAAAGTATTTTTCCTAACTTTAAAAGCCAAATATCACAGATTTGGCAACTGTTGCTCAGTGGAGAAGCCCCGGCTCTGCTAGGCCACGTGGATGTGTCCTTGAGAGAGACACTTAACTCCTAATCTCTCCCTCAGGCCGTGCCAGCTGTTTATGAAGGCTGTAAATGCTCAGATAGTTCTGATGGGCAAGTGGCACCTTGCATGGCAGCCTCCGCCGTCAGTGTATAAATATGTATGAATATGTATGGTGGAATAAGTGGGCTCTAAAAGTACAGTACACCATTTAAATAGCTAAAATACTGATTTGAGATCAACATAATTATTAACGCTCTGGTGTCCTACGGGGAACATTAGTTTTAAAAAGTTCGATTAGACTTGATTTGAAAAAACGTTTGCCTGTCAGCATACCACAATAGTCCTCATCTGAGCCATCTGCACAGTCTTTGTTAAAATCACAGACCAGTCCAGGGGGGAGACATGCAGGTGTGCAGTTGAAAGACCCATCAGGACAAGAAGACACGAGGACCGAGAACACTGCAGAGAGATGACAATAATTTAATTTGAGGGGGAATGCATAAACACTATTGACACACAACTTATGTTGATTTCATTCATGCTCATATTCACACTTTAATTCACATTAACAATGTCCACCAGCTTAAAAATAATATTTACTTATGAGGACACTTACCCGAGAGAAGAAAAACGACTTGCTTCATGTCTGGTGAAACATTACACATGGCAAACAAATCCAAAGAAAAGGTAAAGATCCTTAAAGTGTGACCTCTTCCCCTGCAAACCCTCAGATGATGACTGAGTTACTGTAAAGCAACTTTTACTACAACAATTCTGCTGCGGCTGTGATTCCTTATCAGTGGACCCGGTCCAGAGTGTTGTCGGTGACCTGCTTTACGTTTCCGTTGCTTGCCTTTATGATCCTTCAGCATGTTCCTGAGGTGATATCAGTGACACATTTGATAAAGATCACCTAAGGTTACTGTGGATGTTTCATATGGCCTTAAAGACTAGGTTTTTGTATTCTTTGTCTCAGTAAATATGAATGCGGTCAAAGTTTTTCCCAGAATCCTCTTCTGATGAACGGACTTTTACATGTAAAGATTTTTTTTGATGAATTTTGCACAAATAATTTGAGCATGAAGGTGGGCGAGCTTTACTAAATCTTATCCCACTTTGAAACTGGGATATAAAAATACCAGGAATATGAGATACTAAATGTTCTAGTTCCCATGCATAAGATATTTTCTAAAAAAATCTATTAGAAATGACCTTGTTCATTAACAGTCAAACAACTCTAGGTAGCAGACAACACGAATGTGCTCAAACACCACAAAACCCTTCAATAGCATAATGCATTCTTAACATTGTGCTCATAGGAGCTTCTGGAGCACAAAACTAACAACAAGGGAACAAGATCAAATGTTATGTTAATATCATTTAAGAGACAGTGCACATTAATTAACACGAATCACGATTCAACCTTAGAGGTTAATGTTCATCTGCAGGACTTGGCAGGTGAAAGAAAACATGCAAAAGCACGTCGTCTTTTCTTTCTTCACGGTTTATGACCGTAAACATAATTAAAGATAGGGATTTGCCAGAAGAATGTGGGGTGAAATGACCAAGACGCCATGCTTGTTGCAATAGTCCTAATTACAGGCCTCATAAGAACAATCTCTGCGGTCACAAAAGTTCATATTTCTGCACAGCCTTCTGTGTCAGAAAGGAGAATAACCAAAGAGGAAGTGAAAATACAAAATGCTATGATAGATGCTGGAGAAACAACCTCAACATGTGAATGCATCTGCCCCCAAACAGGATATTGTGTTGCTACACTCAGGATGCACAACGTTTTCTCTTTATCAGCAACAGGGCAACATCACTTTGCTCTAATAACCTTACAACTATATTCTTGTGCCTGCATGAAGGTACCACAGCATTTGTAGACCATACATTTGTGACTTATAGCCTTTTATCTTTTTCATGCACTCTGCACGGTTGGACCGGCTTACTGCTTATTCCTTACCGGGCGGTTTTATCAATGTGGTTACACAACGGTTGCTAAGGTGTTTGGGATGGTTCAAAGATCATTTATTGTCTTTCTGCAAAAATGATTGCGTAAAAAAACGCAGTTGTATTTGTAGCCTATTTTCTTGGAGAAAAGAGGTTAATAAAATGTCAACGTTTTGGGCTGTTTTTTGTCTCTCAAACGTCTGAAGAACACGCATTTGCGTTGAGAAAATACTCTGATTGGGAAGTTACTTTCTCCTCAGGTCTCGGGTCATTATATTGCATAAGAAAAAGAACAGCGCTTTCACAGATACAATGGCTCAACAGTTTTAAGAATATTGGATACATAATAATGAAGCAACAGACGGATACATTGATACATGCTTAGTGTCATAAATACAAATGCAAGGGGTTTAGTGAATAAGATGTTGTGTCCACATGTCATCACTTAACAGGACGCAGTATACTTCCTGCTAAGAGCCTGAAAACGTGCTCATTTCAATGATGATGATTTTTTTATTATGGGGTCACAATAACCTCGTTGGAATGCACTGAAAAGCTGCGTCTTGTCAGCGAACCAACGTGACTGTGGATGCTGCACTGGACCAATGGCTCATGAATCACGTTGAGAACGATTTTCCCACTCACCATTTCAACATGAAGTCAATGGGGCTTTTTTTTGCCATTGTGGGGATGTGACCTCCGTGCACGCAAAACAGTTTGTGTGCATGTGTGTGTGTGTCCCACCCCCATTTTGACCAGTCAAAAAAAATGTTGCAATGGGCCAACGACACATCCTCATTGAGAAGAAGGTATTAAGATTCCCTCCTTTTCATGTCCATGCCCATTAGTCCTCTGCTTGCAATGCGTGGACAGTGTCTCCTGCTCTGAGGCTTATCAGAAGGATGCTCTCCCAGAGGATAACTCTAGCAGCCTTTGTGCTCTTCATCCCAACCTGTTCAACCACAAATGGTACAGTATTCCTCTAAGCTTTCTTCTGTGTATCGACCTAATATCTCCTGGTACGGATGCAAAGATCAGCTATCTGCCTTCATTAGTTTCACTGGATATTGGAAGTCATTTAGACTCCCATTGTCAAAGCTTTTTCATACGGTTGGTCGTAGGGTGATGTCTTTTAAATAAATGCTTTCTAAAACAGCACATTTTGGCTTAAAAATGAGCCTGGGCTCAGTTTTAAAGAGTGAGAAGCTCCAGCTGAAAAGAATATCAACGGAAAATAGTAAATAATACATTAGATGACATATGATATATATATTTGTTGCCTAATTTCATATGTATATTGTGACTGCATATGGTCTTCGACGACTTTGAGGACTTCATCGTTTCACTTTCCCCAGATGCTCCATTCACAATCACCAACAAAGCCACCGGTTTTTGCTTGGTGAGAAAGTCCAGCCGCTGCCTCGACATGCGCTGGACCACCGGGGACCGTCTGTTCGTCACCTCGACCAAGAAGTGCCTCGGGGCTCAGGGCCGCAGCGCGGGCAGCGAGGTCAGCCTCTACGACTGCGACGACAGCAGCCCGCTGCAGAGGTGGGAGTGCAAGAACGAAACGCTGCTCGCCCTCAAGGACCAAGCGCTCTACGTCGAGGTCAAGCCCGACCAGTCCATTTCCCTCTCCAGAACCGCGGGGCCGAACAACGAGCTCACCGTCACGGGCACGTCCAGCGGCGCGTGCTCCCGCACGTACCGAGGTGCAGTACGACAAACGCGCGGGACGCGTGTGGCGCGCGGTTGCACGAAGGGGGGCGGTTCAAAGTGATTAACCTCTTCCCCCTCGTATCTTCTTGTTATTCCTTTTAGAACTGTATACCATTGACGGCAACGCCAACGGGAAGATCTGCGCGTTTCCCTTCCTGTACAAAGACCGCTGGTTCGCAGACTGCACGACGTTCGACTCCTCCATCAAGCGCCTCTGGTGTGCGATCAATTCAAAGTTCGAGTACGAGCAGTGGGGATACTGCCCGACCAGCTGTGAGTACGGGCCGCGTGCGCCCCGCGTGCCACGAGGATATTTCCCATTATAGTACCGCGAGTGATGGAATCCAGCGTTCTGATTGGTTGGGAGTGAGTCACAATGTACAGTAGCTGTTCACGTTGACCTGAGCGCTCCATATCACTGCGCACTCCGGGTTAGTTGTCATTTCAGTGTTTTAGCGAAAGACGCCGTCGAAAAAAGACCGGAAACACCGCAAATGACCGGTTTCGGGCAATGCGAGCTTCCGCGACCGATGTTGTTATTTTTTTTGTGTTGCTGTCATATCGTCCTTGTGCTGTTTGACTGGAGTGACCACGATAGAAAATAGTCCCCGTACAACCCACCTCATTGCTTTGGGCTACAGTAACGCACTGTTGACTTTTCTTTGTTGTTGTTGTTGTTGCTGTTTTGATGCACAGCCACGGACCACTGGGCCAAGAACCCCGTGACGGGCGCCTTCTACCAGGTGAACACGCAGTCGGCTCTGACGTGGGCTCAGGCCGATACCAGCTGCAGGCAGCAGGGGGCCGCGCTGCTCAGCATCACCGACCCTCACCAGCAGGCCTTCGTCTCAGGTACGCGGGGGTCGCTTGTGTGTATAAGATATTAAAAATTGCATATAAATGTGTTGATAGGAGCGGGTAAATACGTGTTATGTTATACTTGTTGTTATGCACCATCCTAAGAAATAATAATAGTAATACTGTCGTTTTTGTTTTTTGAACAGACAGGACACTAAGATAAAAACAATATGATTAAGATGCAGTCCATTTGATACCTAGTAAACAATAAAAAAAAGTTTAAAAGGAGGATACAATAAATAGACCTTCACACGAGACAAGGATTTTGACTCTATAACAGTTTAAAATGAATTTTACCGTTACTTAGCGCACCCATGGACCAAACCAGTATCATTAATGTTATTTGATGGTTTATCCTTTAAAATGTCCCTTCTGTGTTTTAATCCTGTGTGAGATAAATTCTGTCTTTCTGCTGACTGGATTTAAATCAATGAAAAAGAGGAACCGTGTGGAAAAGAGGAACAATTTATTTACTCTGTCCTTTTCATTTTTTTGTTTTTTGTTACCCCTGTCAACCAAATAAACACACATCAACACAGCTCTAATGGGAGCAGGGAAACATAAAGTCTGGATCGGGCTGGTCCTGGACCCAGAACACGGTTGGCAGTGGTCCGATAGGAAACCCTTCCGCTATCTGAGATGGAACATAGGTAAGTCTGCGCTTCGCAAAAAGCTTCAAAGTGCTCTGCTGGAGTTCCTGTAAGCAATGCGTATATAAGATAAGAGGTAAACCTTAATGTTATGGTTCAGCATCGTACAACTGGTGTGAAATCTCTCCAGTTCGTGATGTATGTGTCTGCACTAGTAAAGGAGGAATCTCAATTCAACTCGTCATCATCTCGTTTCAGGAAATCCGGCTCCAAATCCGGGCCACAGCTGTGCATTCCTTGAATCTGCTGGGGAGCAAACTTGGCAAAGCCAATCTTGCGGCAAGAAACAGGGCTACGTATGCTACAAAGACGGAGCCCCACCATCTCCACCCCAAAGTACAGAAACACATCCAACCCTATTGGGTTCTACCCTCCTCTGTGCCACACAGTCAAGTCAATAAATCCCATCCATCTTTTGTTCTTTCCGTCATCAGTTGAGCAGGGGTTTTGTGCAGCCCCGTGGATCCCCTACAATGGCCACTGCTTTCACCTCCAGCGTGTCATTCAAACGTGGTCCGATGCTCAGAAAGAGTGCCGTAAAGAGGGCGGGGACCTGGTGAGCATCCGCCACGTGGAGGACCAGAGCTTTGTCATCTCGCAACTTGGATTCGGTACGTGATGACGATAGGCCTTCAGTCTGTTTCCGATGTCGGCTGAATCCAAAGAGCTCAACAAGTCAGAATAGGAATGGAGCACCTGTGTGCACACAGACTTTAAGCTCTGAACATCTCAAATAGCGTTTAAATTGAAGAAATACAGTCAGTCGAATCAATCTCAAAATCTGAAAATTAACCTTGTTACCCATTGGTGTCGTTTTTAGGGAATTTAAAGAAGTAAACATATATATATGTTAGATGGAAAATATAAGTACATTGAATAAAGAAAAAACATAAGCTATGCCATTTTCCTCAATAAAGTAGAATTTCAGCACATTTACATCTACTGCCAGATTTAACATCTTACATTTGTCCATGTTTACCAACGCTGGCATGATGCCAATAGCTCCAAAAACATGACCGTCGCGACGTTGTATCCACTGGTTGACACGAGGCACTTTGCTCCCCGGCCGTGTCCGCAGCATCCGCCGATGAGCTTTGGATCGGACTGAACGACATAAAGAGCGAGGGGCTGTTTGACTGGAGTGACCACTCCACCGTCAGCTTCACCAGCTGGGAGTTTGGGAAACCCTCCACCTTCGCTGATGAAGACGACTGCGTGCTCATCCGGGGAGAGGTGAGGAGCAGCATGTTTTTCTATTAAATGTCATGCGTTTCCTGGTATTTAAGTAATATCTAGTTCAGCCCGCCCCATACATTCAATCTTCAAGTAAACGTGTGTTTTCCTCTTGCAGAATGGGAACTGGGCCGATCGCTTGTGCAGTGAGAAACATGGCTTCATCTGTATGAAGCAGAGCAGCACTGAAAGCACTGGAGCTGAAGTACAAATGGATTTAGGCTGTAAATCTGTGAGTACACGAACATGTAACCTAGGAAAAAAGAACATGATTTCCATGATTATTTGGGCAATAAAAGTTTACTACTTTAACCCTGAAATTTCCATTGAAAAGTAACTGTTTCTCTATGACGTTTGGTTGGACATGGGCTAAGATATATATATATATATATAGATTTATTTTAAGAATAAAATGGATATGTTGCATTTAAAAATACCAAACTTACCACAGTTCTGATCAGTGCTCGGTTTCCCACAGGGGTGGAAAAGACACGGCTCCTACTGCTACTTTGTTGGAGCAGAGACAAAGACGTTCGATGAAGCTAAAGAAGACTGCAAGAGCTCCGACTCCTATTTGGTTGATGTTTCAAATGGGTAACAACATCTCGTGGTTGTATCAGCTGTCATATAACAGAGTAGTTCACAGGATGAGACGAAAACCTCTTGTTAACATTTCCAGGGTGGACAACGCCTTCCTTGCCAGCATGGTGGGTTTAAGACCAGAAAGGTACTTCTGGTTGGGCCTCTCAAATCAGAAAAACCTTGATCAGTTTGTGTGGACCAACACGGATTCGGTGAAGTTCACCCACTGGAACGTTGACATGCCCGGTAAGGCGAAGAGATGCAACTCCATCTTGAAAACTCAGGGCATAAACAGTAGCCGCGTCATTTACTCCTGACTGTTTTCTCAATCGTCAACGACCCAAGGTTACAGACAGGGATGCGTTGCCATGACCACCGGCATTCTGGCTGGACTCTGGGATCTGCTGCCCTGCAGCAACAAGGAGAAGTACATCTGCAAACACCTGGCGGAGGGGGCGGTTGTAACCGTGCCGCCACCGACTCAAAGCCAGCCCCAGTGCGAGGAGGGCTGGGTTCGGATGGGAACCAGAAGCGTCTGCGCTAAGGTACAGATACACACAATACCAGCGAAACAAGACCAGCGTCCTGTCACAACCCCCACAAACCTATTGTGTATGCCGTCATTTATACAAAAATGGTCATTGTTTTTTTATTTGAACTTTAACTCCTTTAACTTGTGCCACGTTCAGCAGCAAACAGATACAGTCATTGAAAAGCTTGTGAGCAAAGAGGTTTGCAGCTAAAGAAAGATGGTAGAGACCAACACAGAGTTAAAACAGTATGATATGTATGTCAAATGAATGATTGGTCCATAACTGGCGGATGAGTATTTAATAATAAGACCCTAATAACATAAGTCAGTGTTCTGTAAACCTTTTAATGCTTAAACCCCAAATGGCCAGAACAAACTTTATTGTATGATTAGAAGAGGGTCAGTTTCTGTCGTTATGATACACAAATCTAGGCACAGTTTTAAAAAGTCAGTAATCGACTCTACAGCTGTGCTCTACTTTAATCCGACATTCCCTCTTGTCTTAAAGCTTTTCACAGGGCCTCGGTCCTCGGAGAAGACCTGGTACGAGGCCAGGGATTACTGCAGGGCCATCGGAGGAGAGCTGCTCAGCATTCACGGCATCCCAGAGCTGCATGTGGGCAGGTTGGTCATTTACTATCTGACGTATTTAAAAGGAAATGATATAGTAGAAGATCCCTTTGTATGTAAGATCATTACAAATCACAAATACCAGCATACAGCTGCACAAAAGGTGATTACAGAGAGGCAATATTATAAGTTTCAGAATAACGGAATTCCTACAATTACTATAGTAAAATATTTACTCCAGAAAAATAACAGGAGCACTGCTTTGACGTACTTCCTGTTACGTTCTAACTCTACAGTAGATTTGCGAAAGCCTGGATAGGACTTCATATTCCTGATGTGAACACTGGCTACGCATGGAGTGATGGAACCCCGGTGAGTTAACGGTGCTCTACTTTTTACAACGGATCCGATCGCAAATCATTCCAAACTCTTTTGTTCCGTAAACACATATGTGACACCCACTGTATTTGTTGTTTCTTCCTGTTCAAAGGTAAACTACCAGCACTGGCAGGAGGGAGAGCCAAACAATCATAACAATGATGAAAATTGTGTTGAATTCAGAACGTATTACGTGAATGATCACGGGTCTTGGAACGATGCAAACTGTGAGGGTTACAATGACTGGTTCTGTCAGATCCTTGCAGGTACAGCCCATAAATGTGTACTGAATGCTTATTTTTTGTGTATTCTAAAGAAAATACATTTGTTTATCCAGGAAAAACAGACTTCCATACATTATAGTTCATCCTCCACGATGCAAAATCTCTCCAAAAAGTGGGGGTGTAGTGTTGATATGATAACGTATCTATCTTTGCTTCATCTGCCCTGTAATTCAAATAGTAGAGCTAGTTGAGTTTGTTTAGTTTAGACATTATTCCACAGTACGAGATTCGAGTCAAAGGAGCCGACGGAGTGGAAGGTGTGTTTGTGTTCTCTCTGCGTGACATTGACACTTTTTGTGGTCTTACAGGAGTGACTCCAAAAATACCTCCAAATAATACTGTGGTGGGTAAGTTAATAAACACACACACACACACACACTAGCAAGTAATATTGCTGCTTCTGGCTCGTGCCATTTAAACTCCTTCACTTTGATCACGTGTAACCTTTTATTTGACAGACATTAAAGATATTGACCACAACAGAGAGACATTTTAAAATAGAACACAAATTGTTTTGCAGAATATAACCGTACTTCGGATGGTTGGCTTGTGTGGAGAGGGAGTCAGTACTTCATTAGCGGAAACCCCATGTCCATGGAGGATGCTCGTCACTTCTGTCAGCAGAGGCACGGCGACTTGGTGTCCATCAACAGTAAAGATGAAAATACCTTCTTATGGAAACAAGTAGGTGTTTGTTTATTTGGTTTGCTAGCCAACAATTCAACTTTAATTTATATTGAAAGGCTGTTTACTAAGTTGTTAAGTAGGTCCTAACGCTTGTGTGTATTTGTGTTGTTGTTTTCACAGATTTCAAGACACTATGGGGCTTATTACATAGGTTTGTCGGTGGATCTCGATGGGTCATTTTGGTGAGTATCAATGAATGCCATAGAATAGAATACAGTGAATCATTGGTTTCAAGGAGCTTAGTGAAAACTCTCAGGCCACAGAGGACAGTATGCATATCATTTAAGCACCAGTATTACTGGTACCAGAATTCTAAGTACCTCTCGTATATCCTCTGCTTTATTGTACCATTGCTGCAGAATGGCGACACCTGTGGTATTGTTCACACTATTTAATGTCCTAATTCTACTGCACTGTGCGTGCTTTAAGGTGGATGGATGGTTCTACGGTGGGGTTACAAAAATGGGAGGTAGATCAACCCAGCACGGATACCTTTGATTTCAACTGTGTTGTTATGAATTACTACATGGGTGAGTAAACGCAAACTGACAAATGACACGTTAAAAAAAGTATTAACCCCAGACACGTTGCTCTGGAAAAGATGCAGCTGCTGCTCTGAGTGAAAGCAGTTCTTGGTGAGATGATCTTCGTTGCATCTCCACTCTACTTACAGGCTACTGGCGTAGTTGTAATTGCGGCAACGAGAATCAGTTTATTTGTAAACGACGAATCTCAGCACCCGTCAACAGCACGGCGGCCCCCACGGTTGCTCCCAAAGGGGGCTGCCCACTCAAGTGGAGCAAGTTTGACTCAAAGGTCAGAAATCATGTTAACTTTTAGTTTTGACCACAAGTTTAAACATTGTCACTTCTACTCATAAAATGTCAGTTCCTGACCATTTATTCTGACTGACGAGTGGACGCCGGCTCTCAGCAAAGAGTGTTTGGGACTGAATGGGTCCAGGTGGGATTTACAGAGCTCTTACTCCATAACTGAGTGGTAAAATAACTAACTACACATATAACATGCCCTTATTTAAGCAGTGGCTGCAGCTATTTTCTTTATTTTTGGTGTAGAAACAGGCTCATCATAGCTTCATTTGGAAACCGGTCATGTATAAATGGCATCATAAAAAAAACCCACGTACTTTTATAAATGTCAGTTTGTTTATCGGGTTGTGCTCTGTAATATGGACACTTACTGGTTCCATCATCCAGATACTTTGTATTTCTATTTTTCAATTATACACATTGTTATCTCTAATAACCAGCAGATGCCTCCTTAAAATTACTGATACTGCAACCTTAAAAATACTTTGTATGTGAAGTTGAGTAAATACATTTACAAGATAATCAACTGTAATGCACTTCAGATGAGTGAGTTTGCATAGGATATATTTACATTTGGTTTTTGAGAATTTCACAAGGACTAAATGTCCTTGTGGGATACTTTCTGGAACATTGGGAAATGGCTCAAAAGAACAAAATAAAGTAAGCAGCATTATCGGAAGAAACCGCTCAAACATCAAACACATATTATAAGCTTTTATGCAACAAAGCAATTATCACACAACCGAAATACACTCCAATCCTCTTATAAATAAAAAGCTGATACGACAGAGAACTCTAAATACTGAGAAATAAGCACACTGACATATTTCTTAACACCAGATAAGATGTATCAAAAGTTAACCTAAGAAAGTTAGTGTTGAATTGTAGAGCAAGAATGACATTTTAATTTCTCATTTGCAGTGTTACAGTATCATCTTTAACCGCCGGGTCGTCTGGGAAGAAGCGAGATCACAGTGCAGCAGCATGGGAGGATACTTTGCCTCAATTCCCACACGGCGTGTGCAAAGTTTGTCCTACTGCTTTTTTAAACATTTATAATTATTTTGTTGTAGATTTTGAAAACCTTGCACGAAAAAAAAGATGACAATTAATTGATTTCTACATTTAAAATTCTCAGCATTTCTGACCACAAAGATGTCTGAAATGGCAACCTCAGATCTGTGGATTGGTTTGAGTGCTTTGAAACAAGATGGATTTTACTGGAGTGATGGGAAATCAAGGAAATTCACCAACTGGAATTATTCTGTAAGTACACAAATCTTCGCTTACTGTGGAGGCACCGTTTAACAGACATACATGAATTATTGTTTCTCTTGTTCTGCTTGTTAGAAATATCGACATCGTACGGGGACGTTTAACAAAAGATGGAATGAGGTAATATATCCACGACTGATTTTAAAGTAAAACACAACTCCTTTTTAGTTTTTGTCACAAAGGGCCGACTAGAGTCACTTGTTAGCGTAGATGAATTTAGCAAAGAATCCGGCTAATCGTTAATCAATTATTCATTAATTAAATGACTCACTCAAACCGTCAAACACGCAAGCTTAAGCCGGATAGCAATTTTTATGTCTTATTGAAAAGATTTTGAAATTCTGAACCTTGCCCATGTCCCTCCACAGGGGGAATGTGTTGTAGTGAACAGCAACCCTGCCCTTGGCGTCGGTAAATGGTCAATCAGGTCCTGCAATGACACAAATGGATTCATCTGTATTCGAGATGTTGGTGAGTTCATTCTCTCTCTCTCTCTTAAAATAAATTATCCGAGGCAAAAAACAAAAAAAGTAATCGTTCAATATGGCGGCCATTGAAGAGCGGCTCTACACTGCCCAAACTTGAAAAAAATTTAAAGCCGTCATTTAGTCAAGAACGTCTCTAAAAACTATTATAGAAAAACACAGAAAAAACCTCCACGTACCTCTGCTCTCCACAGACCCGAACCTGCAGCCTCAAACGGAGCCAGCAGTCACTGATATCTATGTACCTCTGGGAAATGACAGCATCAAGTTTGTGAATGGAAATCTGACCTGGTACGATGCCAGGAAACACTGTCAGGGTGACAAGAGCGACCTGGCCAGCCTGAGGAACGATTGGACGCAAGCCTACGTGGAGCTGCTGGCTATGAAGCTCAAGGTTCCTCTTTGGATCGGACTGAACAAACAGGTGCCGGCTGACACCGACCGGAAGAACCGCGCCGAAGTCCAGGGAGGGAAATAAAACGTTGATCTGATCCATTCTCGCTTTCAGGAAAGCGGTTATTTCAGGTTTATCGATGGCTGGCAGCTGCGCTCCGTCAACTGGGCTGAAGGTGAACCAAGCCGAGACCGACCGTGTGTGTACGTGGACGAGGAGGGAAAGTGGAGGACGGCTTTCTGCAACCGGACCATGAACAGTGTTTGCAAGCAGTCGACAGGTACGTCGCGAGTAGGAGACACGAATCCACAAAACCATCCAAACTCCCGAAGGTTTAAGTGATTCTGTGAAGCATTCTGTAATATACATTATTTCGCTCTCGTCTTTGGCGTACAGGGTGTCAAATGTTAGCTCTGTAGATTGTATTTTAATGTTTATGTTTAAGCTCAAAGTGCGAGATAAATTTTCTCAAGCCACGAATGAAATTCTTAATTCTCCAGTTTACCAAAAAAAGTGGACATCGCTCACACACACACACACTCCATTAGTGTAAAATATGCTATTTGTTTTACAACCACCTCGATGAGACGTTGTGAATTGATCCAGGATGACCTCAGTGACCTCAGCTTTAAGCTCGCCGCAGGGAATAATAAGTATCTGATCTCCTCACCGCTGCCTCTGTCACTTACAGACCCGCTGCCACTGCCGTCAACAGCCTTTCCAGGGATTTGCCCACCAGATATGGATGAGGACGACAACCCGGTTAACAACTGGCTGCCGTTTAAGGGTCACTGCTATTTGTTTATCACCGATGAAATTGAATGGGCGAATGCAGCGAGCAACTGTGTCAGGCATGGTGAGTGTGTGGTGTAACAAGCAGCGACTGGCAATAAGCGGCCAGAACTCGTTAAAACCGGACTGCTTTTTGCGTTGCTAAAGGTGGATCCCTGGCCAGCATCGAAGACCCTGCTGAGCAAGAGTTCATCAAAGGCCATGTGGAAGTATTTCGGGACAGCACCAGCTCTTTCTGGGTTGGCCTGTTCAAAACTCATGCAGGTAGCATTACACTCTTTCCGGTCTTTTTATATTTTATTAATTATATGAATACTCAAATTCGATTCCATGAAATTGAGTTTGCCAGATGTTACCCTCTTAGTTTTAGTGGTTTTGTTTCCGTTTCTCACGCAGCTTGACGCGGCCTCTACAGCATGTAAAAGTGAAAATACTATTACTTAAAGTTTCTGTTTGGCCGCAGGGGAATGGAAGTGGTTGGATAAAACCGTCATGGAATACATTAACTGGGCTGAAGACGAGCCAGAAAATGATTTTGGAAGTATTGGAAGCTCGGATGGGTTGTGGAGGACGGGAAGCAGATGGCACGACAAAGCCTACGTCTGTAAAGCAGCCAAAGGTAAGATCCCATTTAGTCTAAATATGACGTGCATTCACAAGTTCTCCCCGTACATGTAGCTTACGTGGAGTAACAGGGAGCCGTAGTCAAGACTGTGTTACGTTTTCCTAAAAACATACAACTGTTTGATACTTTTTGTTTGTACATAAACTCAACTTGCAGCTGCAGATCCTCTTTTTTTGATTTTGTTATTTTCACCTGATAGTTTTATGACCACTTTCCCTTCTTTTTTCTTCTCTTTAAACAGTTATTCCCGTGGATCAAGGATCAGGAAAAAAACCTGGTTAGTTACACCTTTGCAACTCCTTGAATTGAGACAAATTTTAATGATTTAATAATAAACATCAATAATCAAAAATTAAAAATTGACAGTTATTAAATGTAATTAAAAGGAATATAAATTATATTTAAAGCTCAAGTGAATTTTAAATGGTCTTGACTGATCCACTTCTATGTGCTTGTGCAGAACCTCACGGTGGTCAGGATCCTCGCGGTCGCGTCCACACGAGTTTGATAGTTGTGCTCGTCATCACCCTCGTTTCGACGCTGATGGTGGTCGCATTCTTCATCTACAAGAAGTCTCCTCGTACTTTGCCCACCTTCGACAACCCACTCTACTTCGACAGAGAGCGATCCCAGCCCGATGTGGTCGATACCAATAAACTGATAGAGAACGCAGAAGAAGAAAACCTCGAGCCCATTATATCGCTGTGATTTAGAATCCATTGGGACACTGCACTGGGTCCCAAACTGATGTGTCACGCTTGGATGCTTCATTAGTGTTTTAGCTTTGTTTTTTTTACTACAGTATATAGTAAATATATATTCAGTTATTTAACAATATGTCACACTCGAGTGTAAGTTTCAATGGAGTTGGCGAAGTCTTACCTCATGGAAGAGAACAACTTCGCTCTACGATGTCTCGGTGGGAATGAATGGTGTTTGATTTTGTCTTTATATCTGATTGAATGTATAGAACTGTTACATGTTATGCTTATGCTCACTAGATGCTGTTGATTGTTTACTCATGAAATGTCTTAGAAAATAAACTCACCGCCTGTCATTGTTAAATGAACATTATAGTTGGCACTAAATAATATTTAAAACAGAATTTTATGTTAAAAAATGAACTAACACAATGGATCAATTCACCATATTGGGGATCCCCACTATAACATATTGATACCTGAGTCTTAACACAACAGTATTGCAATTTTAACAATTTTGCAAAACATTGTGAATGATTTCATTTTTATTAATAAAGAATATCTTGGCTAGTATTTTGATGATGTGTTATAAGCTGCTTAGAACTGGTGTTAGAAAACTGAGATCCCCAAGTCACATAATTCACGGAATTTACTCTGCTAACATAACGTTAGCGTATCAACTAATAATTCATGGTTCATTGTTCAGTTTGCATGTGTAAATCTTCTGGTTTGCATTTGTGAGTCGTTCTGTGCGCATTTGCAATTATTGAGACTGATCTGATCCCCATCTGACCCCCATACCGAGCAGTGATTCCAGTCCGTTAGACTGAAGCCAATGCGGAATAATCTCAGAACTTCCCTCTCTCCACTGACCAGCAGAGGGCGACTCCTCACGTCGCAATAAAAAGTCTTCAGTGAAACTTGTTAGCATATATTTAGCGTCTCAATCGCTCAGTTAAACTCTTCTTCGCATTGAGGATAATTGTTTTTGTAAATTATGGTCCAATTTTGAGTGAAATAGAACAAGAGGGAGAGTATGCTTCGGGGGTGGGGCGACTTTGTAATTGTTGTACAGTCAGGATTGCTGACTGTAAGGAGAATTTTTTTTGCCAAATTATGCTGAAACACCCACAACGTTGTGGGTGTTCCCCAATTGCCTCTGTCTACTAAGCAATTTTTCCAAGCACACCTAACCTGCTAACCAACTTTCCAACTTCTTACTCAACACCGATGCGACCACGGCTCACTTCTCAAATTCACAGATGCCACTTCCTCTTTGGGCATACAAGGCAGTGCCACGTCCAATTATTTCAAAATGTTTACCTTTGACGACTCTAAAACACAACATATAAATGATACAAATGGTACAGTACAGGAATATTCACCTTTGCATGGGCATTCGGGTATGTGTGATTAAAGGACCATGTCAGCCTGAAGTTGCTCAAATCGTTAAACAGCAAAGCAACGTTTTTCATGACAGGTACTCCGTGTGCAGATGTGTTGACTTGAATTCACAAAGAACTAAAGATAATGACGTTTTAGACAAGATGCATGTGTCTGGGAAGGAAACAGGACTTGTATTATGTTACGCAGTTTGTGTGAGAGTTTTGTGATTCAATATAGTTTTGCTTAAATTCATCAATATCTGTTTGCTATCGAAGCAAACCAAAGGAAAATAAAGTTTTGTTTAAAGTAAGTCAAGTAAGGCCCAAGTAAAAGGTTATTTTTCTTTAGTCAAACACACGTTATCCTTTATGGTCACGTACAAGGAACTTTTCCTCTGCTGCTTGTGCAAGACAAAGGTTAAGGAAGTGGGCCGACTTCCTTAGCCAACATTGATCAGCTGACCCTGCGACAGCATACAAAGGTCATAAGCACGTCATGTCCTTTTGTCAGAGAAGGTTTTCAGAAGAAACTAAAACCTCACGAAACAAGTAAACGGTTTTGCCAAATATGCAGCGGATGAAAAACATCTGCATCCTGAATTACATGAACAGTAATGTTGTCACTTGAGGAGATCAAGGTCTTCCATGACATGGAAGTTGGTTATATGGTTGCCTAACTGGTACGAGGCGATATTGCATCTTGGTCTATCTAAATGTTTGGCTGTGGTTTACGCGTTTGCTACGTGTATAGACTGGCCATCACTAAAGAGTTCAGTTACTGGAGCGTGATCACGACTTCTTGTTTCCCACTGCGCCCGCTGCTAATTATGCAATGACAAATGACACATACACACACGCCGACGTTTCCTGGGAATCCGGACGTCAATGAAACAGCCAAATGTGCAAATATCAGCTTTCAGGTTCCGGTTTTAAATAACGGTTCGAAAGAAAGATGTATAGTCTGATACTAGAGAAGAAAAAAGCATTACGACATTTCCAGACGGGATCTGTCGGATCTGGATTGACTCTCGACAATCGTTCACAAAGCTCTTACGTTCCTCGTGACAAATGCATGGATAACGTCTTCAGCTGGGACACTTCTCAAACTGACACTAGCAATGAAGATTACCTTCACAGCCCTGGTGCTCCTCTTCCAGACGTTACCATGTTTGGCATCGGATGGTACAGTATTTTCACTTTGACTTGTTTGTGAGACTCTTTGTTCAAGGCTGTTGTGTCTTTGCCACCGGTCAGTGTGGGTCACCTGGGTTAAATGCATCATTTGCTTCTTGCTACACCTCAATTACAGTTTTACTTTTTGTGTTAATATTTTGCAGGTACTGGATGTCAACTTACATTTTTTTTTGTGTTTTTCTCTCTTTCAACAGATTCACCATTTCAACTCACCAACAAGGACACTGGTTTTTGTTTGGTTAAAATAAACAACAAGTGCAACGAGATACGCTGGACAACCGATGACCGACTTCTGGTTCCACTGAGGAAAAAGTGCCTCGGCGTGCAGGGCAAAAGTGTGGGAAGTGAAATAAACCTCTACGAATGTGACGAAAAGAGCGACCTCCAAAAGTGGCAATGCAGGAATGGAACGTTGCTCACCCTCAAGGACCAGGAGCTTTACGTCGAGCTCACTGCGGACACCACGGCAGTTCTCTCCAAGACTGTCGGGCCCAACAACCACCTCACCATTTCAGGGACGTCCAGCGGCGCTTGTGCGAGAACATACAGAGGTACGGTGCAAAGCGGCGGTTGAGTCGAAAAGACTTGTGTCGCAAAACAACTAATCTTTGCAATCCCTGCTCACCGCGTCTTAGAGCTCTTTGCAATCGGCGGAAATGCTGCTGGACTGCCGTGCATGTTTCCCTTCCAGTACCAGGACCAGTGGTACACGGACTGCACCGCGGTCGACTCTTCAGAAAAGAGCCTGTGGTGTGCGGTCGAAACCAAATACCAAAGTGAACGCTGGGGTAACTGCCCGAGCACTTGTGAGTAACTGCCTGGGGAAGTGCACATTTCGTTTAGCCCTACACGGGGATTGGGCCGTATTTGATTGTTATGCCAATATTTACATCAACATATGATTTTCTTTTAAAATGAACTCACTGTAAATGCGCTTTTATCATTGTTCAAGCTGCACATTCACTGACACATAACACTCTCCATGGGGGGTAAAGGTCTGTCCTACTAGCTGCCATTTTTGAAGAGATAATAATGTCATGGTTGCTGACCAGTGTAACGTTAATCAACCGCATCCTTAAATGAAGACAAGAACGCGTACAGGCGCAACGTGTTATACCTTGAAGCAAACATGACGTTTCCAGATGTTGCCGTTCACAGCCAAAGAAGGCTGGACTATCCACCCAACAACAGGAGCGTACTACCAGCTCAACACCCAGTCGGCCCTGATGTGGTCACAGGCCGAGGCCAGCTGCAAACAGCAGGGTGCCTCCCTGCTCAGTATCACCGACCCTCACCAGCAGGCTTACGTCACAGGTAAGTGACGCTGACTACTATTTTATGCGCTCTTCTTTCTCCCATTGATGGATGTGATGTGTGACAGTCACTCAGAATCAACAATATATATGTATTTAGACACTCTTAGCAATACTTGTAATGATATATTTGCATGGAAACTATTGTGTCCAAAACGTTGAGCCTTACTAACAATTAGCAACATAGGAACAGACCCGTTAATTTGTCATTTTTGTTAATCATTGCCCCAACAGCACTACTAGGTAGAAGTGGCAATAAGCTGTGGACTGGGCTGATCCTGGATCCAGAACATGGCTGGATGTGGTCCAATGGGAGGCCTTTCCGCTACCTGAAATGGGACTCTGGTAACCTTTTCCCCCTTTTTTCCAATTTTGTTATATAAAAGTGGTAATATGTTAAAAATATGCCAGCAAAATGTTTATTTCAAATATATATATAATCCAGTGCAGCGTTAAATCTGTAAAGAAACTGTAAAGTAAAGATTGAAGCTTTGTGGTTTAACAGGGTATTACATGCAAGTATGCAACATCTAGAGAAATGTTGAGCGCTGATACGAGGCTGTTTGCAAAACCAACAATGATGAGTATAACCGTTATCTTGTTTAAGGACATCCACTTCCTAATCCGGGACACAGCTGTGGAATAGTCGATCCTGCTGTCCAGTACTCCTGGCAAAGTTTGCCTTGCAGCAAGAAACTTGGGTACATCTGCTACAGTAAAGCGGCCGAAACACTGCCTGCACAAGGTAAACCCTCAACACATCCCTACACTTTGTACTGTCTCCGAGCCTCAGTCCGTATTTCTCTGTTTTTTTTCATGATCAGCAGGTATGACAGGATTTTGTTCCAGACCTTGGATTTCCTACAATGACCACTGCTTCCACCTCAATCGCACTCAGCAAACATGGTCCGATGCTCAGAAGGAGTGTCACAATGAAAGAGGGGAGCTGGTCAGCATCCGCAATGTGGAGGATCAAAGCTTTGTCATTTCTCAGCTTGGATATGGTACGTTTAGATCGAATGAAACGAGAACGTACAATCAAAAATCATTTATTGTCACGCGTTGAAAGATGACTGATCCCGGCGCGTTTCTTGATCGGTTACAGATGGTGGTCTATCTGTCTATACGACTGCCTATCACATGAATGCAGCTAATGATAATGGTGCTAACAGTACAAACAGCTCTCATGTGTATACTGTCTATGGTACATGACATTAAAATGAAGCCGAGCAATGAACAATACCGACTCCATTCAGAAGAAAAGACATTGTGACAGTTATTTTCATGATGCGTAATTCTTCTTCTTCATCTTTGCAGAATCCACTGATGAGCTTTGGATTGGACTTAATGACAGAAAGACAGAGGGGCTGTTTGACTGGAGTGACCACTCGACCGTCAGTTTCACCAGCTGGGAATTTGGAAACCCAGCGGCCTCCAGTGACATAAATGACTGTGTTCTCATCAGGGGACAGGTGAGAATCACCTTTGTGATTATCCACGTTACAGTCACCGATTGTACATGTGTTAAATGACATTGTTAATTGTGTATGTCTGAACTTTGTTTGGTTTAAAGAGTTTGGTGAGTTTGTGTTCCAGTACACGCCGTCTGCACATAAACATCTGTCTTTGTTGCAGAATGGGAACTGGGCGGACCGTGTGTGTGAGGAGAAACACGGCTCCATCTGCATGAAGATGAGTTCTTCAAAACCCACTGGAGATGAAGCGCAGCAGGATGCCGGCTGCAAAACTGTGTGTTGAGTGTATTTATTGTTCACCTATTTAAAAACGGTTTATTTAGTTCATGAAATGATCACCAGAGTTGGACTTTGGTGTAAAGCCCGAACTTTGACATTGGCGTTTGACGTTGGTTAAAAGAGATTTTTGTCTTTTCCTTTCTTTGTATTTGGATAGTCATCATTTATCACGTGCACAGCTCGACCAAACAAATATAATGATGGTACACTGGACAGAAACCCAGCCTCAAATGACAGTTCATGTTCCTAATTACTCTGTATGGGTTTCAGCATGAAAAAGTTTGCATAAACAGCTGCATTAAACAAAATGTCAAACTTTATAATACCCACTGTGATTTTAGACCGAGTTCTAATGCATACTGTTTGGAATTGTAGTGACTAATAGGATATTATCATATAAAATATGATATGGCTCTTTCCTTATTTCCATTTTAAAATTGGACTAACTAAGGTTAATTAGGAAATATCAGACGCTCAATCAATGATCTTTCTTCACTTTTCTTCCCAACAATCCAGGGGTGGATCAGACATGGATCCTACTGCTACTTTATTGGAATGCAGACCAAAACCTTTGATGAAGCCAAGGATGTCTGCAAAAGTTCAGATTCTTACTTAGCTGATGTCTCAAATAGGTAAAAACATATTTTCCTGCGAAAGTTTTGAGCGACACCCCGTTGACAAGTACGTACGGAAAAGAAAACAGATCCAATGCTCATTAACGTGTAAATATTTCCAGGGTGGACAATGCCTTCCTTGTCAGCCAGGTGGGGTTGAGACCAGAGAAATACTTCTGGTTAGGACTCTCAAATCGGGAAAACATCGATCAGTTTGTGTGGACCAACAGAGGTTCAGTGACGTTTACTCACTGGAACGCTGAAATGCCCGGTGAGGAGAAAAAGTTCAACATCAGTGAGATTTATGCAAAAGTGGTGCCGTAACTGACGTGTCCTCACTTCTCCCTCAACAACGCAAGGTCACAGCCAGGGATGTGTTGCCATGACAACTGGTTATTTTGCCGGCCTCTGGGATGTGCTTCCCTGCACCAATAAGCAGAAATACATCTGCAAACACCTGGCGGAGGGGGCCGTCTTAACTCCCGCACCACCCAGTGTTGTTTCTCCCTTGTGTGCAGACAACTGGAATCGAATTGGATTAAGAAACTATTGTTATAAGGTGACCCATGTCTAAAAAAAAACCTGTTTTTAGATGAATTTGACTACTCCAAAGATTCACAAATATCCCACAAAAAAATGTATAGGTGGATAGCACTGTTTGTGTGTGTGAGTCTTGTGTGTGTACCATGAAGGCAACAAATGTAAAGAAATAAAACACTGTTTGCTTGTCAAAAGCCACACTGCCAACCACCTTTTTCCTCCCGTCAAGTTGTTTGAATCCTCAAAAAAGACCTGGTTTGAGGCCAGAGATTACTGCCGGGCCATCGGAGGAGACCTGCTTAGCATCCACAGCGCTGACGAGAATCAAATACTCGGGTACAGTATGACTCCCTACATAACAAGTTAAATAAAACCATTACAGCACCATTTGCAGCAGAAAGTGAAGGTTGACCAGCAGAGCTTTCCGTACAGCATATCATCAATACAACAATCACATTATATAATCATTGCCCATCACAGCTCCGCAGTGGCCTGGATTGGGCTGAGCGCCCCCGACTCGGTCACCGGTTACGTGTGGAGCGACGGGTCCCCTGTGAGTTCACATTTTCCTACTTAAAAAATGAGTTTGCATTTTTGACCCTTCGGTTCCTGCATCTCTTGTTTTTATTGAGATTAGTTGAAAAAAATGATTGATATAGTTCTGGATAAAAGCGTCAGCTAAATGACATGTAATGTAATATACCAGTGTTCCCCAGTGAGCTTGTATTCTTATATTTAAACTATAATGGATATATCCAGTTGGCTTTTTGTCCAGGGAACCAGTGAACTTTTGGAAGTGGCCTAAAATAATACTTTGTCGTTGCAGTTCTTTTAAAAAACTACCACTTTTTTTGTTTTGTTTACAGCTGCAGTTCCAACACTGGGAAGCTGACGAGCCAAACAACAAAAACAATGTGGAATCTTGCGCTACAATGCGGACAGATAAGCGGAGAGAAAGCGGGTCTTGGAACGACGTACACTGTGAAACGTACCTCGAGTGGCTGTGCCAGATACGTGCAGGTAAAAGGAGCTTTGGATGGTTATTCATGCAACCAAGAACAATATCTTCCTCATATTAATGTGGTCAGCGCTGTCCACTATCACTCCACGGCTCATTTTGAGGGTATGATTTTATATTATTTTTGTCTTTTCAGGAGTCACTCCAAGTCCGCCTCCAGACCCAGTCACTCCTGGTAGGTTGGCAGTAATACACATAGCAAATACATACATACACACATACATTAATTTCATGGTGAGCCTTATAGTCGCTGAGATATTTTACTCAAAGCCACAGCGGTGAGGCTCATAGTGGCCCCGGAGGAATAGTATGGAGAACCTCGGGGTCAATAGGTCATCTGCCGGAACTCATGTTACAATCCGCAAAGTAGAACCAAAGATATTTCACCTGACGAGTGAAACCTTCGACCTACCGGTGGCACTGGTGAACGAGTCAGGGGACAAAGTCAGTTCGAACCCATTTTAATCAATACGTTAACTGTGACACGTTCCATGACTCTTCTGAATGTTTCCAGACTACAACGAGACGGGTGATGGGTGGCTCGAGTGGAATGGGGCTCAATATTTTTTAAACAGACAAACGATGGCCGTGGAAGACGCTCGGAGCTTTTGCCAACGTAACCACGCCGACTTGGTGACCATCGACAGTGAAGCTGAAAGTGTTTTTTTGTGGAAACGGGTGAGGCGTGACATGTGTATTCTTCATTACTGACATTGCCCATTGGCAATGGCCTTTGAGCTCGTACATTACTGCAAGGTTGGTGCTGCTGAGTCTAAGTGCCTCGTTCTGTTTCGGTGCAGTTGTCCGAAAGCTCAAGGTCTTACTGGATTGGCTTGAACGTGGATCTTGATAAAACATACAGGTGAGTAGGACTTCATTCACAATTAGTGGACTAGCGATCGCCATGACTTGGTCTACTTTTCAACTGAAAAGTAGCTTGCGAGCTGGAAAGGTGTGGGCGCCTTTGTTCTAGATTTATAATATAAAAAATCATACAAGATTGACAAAATGCATAATATATCTAATGGCATAATAAGTGTTTTGCCCCCAGTCTTCCTGACTGATTAAAATGTAATTTAACTGTCTGCTTTGACGATGATGGAAAACTTTAGGTTATTTACATAACCCCGGTTCTCTGAGTAATATGAGTGAGATGTCTCACTATGGGATGCACGCCCCGCTGCAGACCTCAGAAGCATTAATCTCATTACGCCAATCCTGATTGGCTGGTGAAACGTGTCCGTCCGCCGCAGGTAGTACCACCTACCTTAAATATCTCATGCGGACGACACCACGTCATTCAAGATAAGCACCTCTTCTCACTTGCCCAACCAAGAAGGGTTGTCTGGTGAGACATCTCACTCATATTACTCAGAGAACCGGGGTTATGTAAATAACCTGAAGTTCTCTTTCATAATACTTCGTTCGACGTCTTGTGGTTGCTCCCGTATTGCCAGACAAACTTATCTAGCGTCCACCAACCCTCAGGGAAAAATACTTCGTTCCAATCAGGACAGCAAAACCGTGGAGCGGAAACATATAGAAATAGACAAAAGTGAGCGGTGAGGACCAACTCACCGCAGCACAGATGTCCTGAACAGAAACTCCCCTGAATAAGGCCCAGGATGCGGCCAGGCCCTGAGTCGAGTGTGCTCGCATGCCTCGACTCGTATAAGCCAAAGTTATCGCATCCACCACCCAGTGGGACAGGCGCTGCTTTGTGACAGGTTTCCCTATGTGCAGATTAGCCCAGGAGACGAACAGCTGATCGCTCCTCCTGAAACTCCTCATCCTATCCATGTAAGCGCGCACTGCACGGACTGGACATAAGGTGGGGTAGCAAAAGCAACAAGGTCAATAGGAGAACATGAGCCCACCACCTTAGGCACAAAGGCCGGGTTGGGCTTCAAAGTCATCCTCACATCCCCCGGAAAGAGCTGAGCGCATGACGGGTGCACCGAAAGCGCGTGAATGTCACTAACCCGTTTAGCCGAAGCCAGCGCCAGCAACAATACTGTCTTGAGAGACACGTGTTTCAAGTCTGCTCCCTCCAGTGGCTCAAAGGGGGGGGCCCTTAAGCCCCTCCAGAACCACAGCCAGATCCCACGGTGGTACCAGTGGTCTGGACACGGGGAGAAGCCTGCGCACTCCCTTCATAAAACGGCAAACCAGCGGGTGCTGGCTCGCTGATTGCTTCCCAAACCCCACATGACAGGCGGCTATAGCTGCCAGGTAAACCTTAACCGCGGAGAAGGCTTTCCGTTTGTCGATCAGGTCCTGCAGGAATGACAATATCACTCCTACTGGACACTGAAAAAGAATGTGGCCATTCCTGTGACACCATTCCTCAAACACTCTCCACTGGCGGTATCAATGCCAGGGGGGGGAATGCGTACAGACGCTCGCGCGGCCAGGCGTGCGCTAGTGCGTCTACCCCGAGGGGGGCATCCATGCTGCGCAGAGAGTAAAACAGCGCGCACTGCGTGTTGCCTCTCGATGCAAACAGATCCACCGTGGCCCGACCAAAACGGGCCCATATCTGTTCCACAATCTCCGGATGCAGAGTCCACTCCCCGTATACCAGCGCGCCCCTGGACAACAGGTCCGCGCCCGTGTTCAGGGCTCCCGGGACGTGCATCGCTCTCAGGGAGAGAAGACGACCGCAGCTCCACAGGATCAGTTTGCGTGGCAGCATGTGCAGCTGACGGGAACGTAAACCCCCCTGGCGGTTGATGTACGCCACCGTTGTCATATTGTCCGTCCTCACCAGGACATGATGGCCCACAAGAGACGGAATGAAATGTTTCAGGGGGAGAAACCGCTGAAAGTTCCAGAAAATGTATGTGAGGCCGCTGGAGGTCTGCACTCCAGTGGCCGCTCACAGATCGGCCCTCGTAAATTCCGCCTCAACCTGGCTGGCGTCCGTCGTGACCACTTTCCTGGACAGGACGTAACCCATGGGCACCCCGTGGGTCAGAAAGGTCGGGGCTCGCCAGTGATGGAGCGCCCTGGCGCATCCCGGTGTGATCACCAGCCTGCATGAGGCCACCCAAAGCTGGAATTCCCTCATGTGGTTGCGACCGAGACGAACTACGAGCATGGCAGACGCTATCAGTCCGAGTACCCGAAGACACAATCTGAATTGAACAGATTTTCCCGAATGAAAAAGCGCGAGACATGTCCTTAAGACCGTCACCCGCTCGGCCGAAAGGCGCGCTGTGAAAGCCACAGAGTCCAGGGATAATCCCAGAAAGACTATGCCCTGTGTCGGGAACAACGCGCTCTTTTCCGCGTTAATCACTAAACCCAGGTCGGATAGGTGACGCACAAGAATACGTGTGTGCGCTACGGCCTCCTGTTCCGATTGTGCCAACAGCAGCCAATCGTCCAGATATGTGGCCAGGCGCATGCCCTGCCGTCTTAGCGGGGCTATTGCCGCCTCCGTGCACCGCAACACCCTCGGGCTTAAAGACAGACCGAAAGGGAGCACGAGTACCGATCCCCTGGAAAGCAAATCGTAAAATACTTTCTGTGGGGAGGGTAAATTGGGATGTGGAAATATGCGTCTTTTAGATCGACAGAAGTGAACCAATCGTTCCGAGGCGCACTCATCGTCGTCCCCATAGTCCAGTTCCAGGACGTCTTCCTCCTGCGGAGGGACCGCGGCTAGGTCGAGCTGGGAGCCCCAGCTGGCGCTAACCTCCGGCGCCGCCACCGCAACGACCCCAGTCATCCCCCCGTCCTCGACGGCGGCGCCACCGGGAGGGAGATAGTGGTCCCGTCCAGACAGGCTAGCCTGGCGGGCTAACCGAAGGTTCGAGAGATTAGCTGGTGTGCTAACCCTCGATACTCGAACAGCCGTGGTGAGGCTGTCGAGGACAGTGCCGACCAAGCTGTGGAGGGCGAGGAAAGCACACAGTTCGGTCTGGTGTGACCGACGAAGCAGAAGAAACTCACAAGGCTAGCTAGAGCCCGGCGACAGAAGCTAAACCAGACCTGTCTGCGGACAGTTCAGCCAACTAGCCCAAGACGCGAGATATGCTCCGAGTGAGAAGAGGTGTTTGAATGACGTGGTGTCGTCCGCATGAGATATTTAAGGTAGGTAGTACTACCTGCGACGGACGGACACGTTTCACCAGCCAATCAGGATTGCCGTAATGAGATTAATGCTTCTGAGGTCTGCAGCGGGGCGTGCATCCCATAGTGAGACATCGAGCGAAGTATTATGTAAGAGAACAATATGCACATCATGAAGTGGCGCCTGCTTGAAATCCGTAATGTAGAATATCTGTATCGTTGTTTTTGACGGTAAAATCAGTTAGGTGTCAAAACAAACGACTTCTCCGTAAAACGAAACAATATGGACACGAAAGCAAGAGTTTGTCATGGATGTGCTTTTACATTATTTAAGTGATTTTATTGTCTTCTCAAGTTGGATGGATGGTTCTTCAGTGGTGTTCCAAAGGTGGGATGAAGATCAACCTCGTTTCCAACGCAATGATGAGAATTGCGCTGTCATAACCCCAAGTATGGGTGAGTACTGAACATACGACTCTACACTGTCTTTAATGGAGAAATAATCTGAGAAGATTGTAAACATGGGAGTGATCTTTTTCTTCCCTCATCTACTCATTAAGTATTTTGAATTTGTTTACAGGCTTCTGGCACGTTTATAACTGTGGATATGAGCACAGGTCCATCTGTAAACGCAATAGCGCGCCACCCGCCAACGCCACCGTTGCACCAACAGTTCCTCCAAAAGGTGGCTGTCCACAAAACTGGAAACAGTTTGAATCAAAGGTCAGAGGTCACTTTTTAAAAAAAATAGTTGACCTGTTTTATTCGACTGAGGTGCAATAGACGCTCAAACTGAAAAAGCATTGATCCATTTGTGGATAAAACAATCGGCTGCTCGTTTCAGATTTCATGCAAATGTCTGTGGCTTTTTTCCCCCAATTTAGTGTTACATCATCGTTAATAACCAGAAAGAGACGTGGCCTGGAGCAAAGGCACAATGCCAAGCAATCAGAGGAAATCTGGCTTCAATCCTGTCAAGACAAGTCCAAGGTTAGTTTTATATTTACTTTTTAAAGAAATAAAAGGGCACAAGCAGGCTGTGACACACACACACACCAATGTGTTCAAATGTAAACCCGTGGCCCTTCATGGAAGGTTTTATTCTTTCTTTTGTTGTTGTCGTAGTTGTAGACCTTACGCATTGCCAAGAGCTTTCTAGAAATATTTATCATTGTTGATTCTGCCAGTTTTTTATCTTAACTGGAATCGCGATATGAATACGAATGGCGTGTTGCATTTTCAGTGTTCCTGACTGCTCAATTGGCTGAGGCCCCTGCAACGGGCCTCTGGATCGGCATGTACAATGTACGTGGCGGTTCAGATCTCTGGACGGACGGCCGACCAAAACGATACAACAATTGGGGAAATGATGTAAGTGGACGCTACGACTTTTCTTCATCATAATGATCGTGCAAGAGGGAACCTGCTGCATTTAAAATGAGCCACACATTTTTGTATATTATTTTCTAAATCACTGTTCTTCATTTAAACATGACTCCTTCTCTGCAGCGGCGGATCCTCCACGAACTGATGAATTACAGACATATGGTATAGTAACCAACCATGCATAACTTTGTAGACTGAGATTGTGTGTGTCAAGTACACACAACCTTTATGTTGGAATGAATGATATCTACATTGTTGTGTAAGCTATATATTTCTAAATACCTTGCTCTTGATTTCCAGCATTCTTTTCGCTCGAGGCATTTCCACGACATGGATCTTTTCAGACATCATTGGCGCTCTACCTTGCGCACTGACGTAACACTATTTGACCTCACTTTGATTTTTGGTTATTTTATAGCAATATAAATGGATGACTAAAGGAAAAAAAAATCATTTTCTCATTGGTTTCGCATCATATTATTATATATTATATTATTCAGTTTCAGTTAGGTCCCTTGACTCTTTCCCTGATCCATGCTCCGTATTTTAACAGAAAGAATGTGCTGTAATGACCACTGATCTCACCAGTGGTATTGGGAAATGGATAAGAAAGTCCTGCAATGACACCAACGGATATGTCTGTCTGCGAAACGTTGGTGAGCATAACCTCTTTATTGCATTTCCAAGAATGATTTATATCATAATCATTTTAGCAAATATGGTATGTATTGCGTAGTGCCCCAATTGACAAAACACAGCACACACATTTTGTACAGCAAGTGCATGACTAGGAGACATTTAGTGTATTACTATACTCTTTGCATGGATTATTTGATTGTTTTATTTCGAATTTTAAAATCTATAGTAAGTCTATGCAACCGCACCAATACTAAAGGTACCGAGGCGTGTTGTGTGACGTAATGCAGACGTATTCGACCAGGATGTTTCTTTTTTTTTTTTGCAAATGGGTTAAGTGAGATACTTCATTCGTTTCAGAAAAATGGATTAACTGTACATGACGGCACCTATAAGAAAGAGTTTAAAGATGAAATTCAATTTGTCTAACCTCTCACCCTCGAACAGATCCTTCTCTCCCAGACTCCTCTCAACCAACACCAGTGGACTACGTCAACGTTTTTAATGACTCTTTCAAGCTCGTTCCACAAAAAATGACCTGGGATGCTGCCAAAAAGAACTGCGAAAGGGACGGAGCCCAACTGGCCAACCCGCGGAACCAGTGGTCACAGAACTTTGTTGAGTTGCTGGCTTTGCAGGTCAAAGGTGCCGTGTGGATTGGAATGAACAAATTGGAGGTACAGCACACAAAGCCGGTCAAATTGAAGATCCTAAACAATATGTTGTGTATAGATGTGTAAGCTAAAGTAATAAATCCAAGCTTTGGTCCATGATGTAGCACACGATCCTAATTCCAAGGGATGAAGTTTTCAATTTAATGAAACAGTAACAAAGACTACTGGTTTTGTTTGAAAATCTATACTATGCTGATTGCAGTTCAATCTCTTTTTTCAGACCGGCGGATATTTCCGATTTATTGGAGGCTGGCGCATCACCGAAACCTATTGGGGAAGAATGGAACCAAGCCCACACCTCCCTTGTGTGTACGTGGCTGAAGACGGGAAATGGACCACTGCCGAGTGCAATCGAACCGAGTACAGTATCTGCATGAAGACCGAAGGTGAGGCATCCTGAATGTGACCCTGTAACCTCGACGCGCATCCCGCCTTCACCTGCTCCCAATCACTGTATGTGAGGTATTGATTGATTATGTTGGCACATTGATTTAACGTTTGTGAATACATCTGTTATTCATAGATGTGGCACCAACAGAGTCAAGTGATTTTCCGGGCTTTTGCCCCGAGAACCCAGAAACACCAAGATATACACAGAGGGGTGACGGCTGGATTCCATTTAAGGGTTATTGTTACCTCACTTGTACAGATGAAATTGAGTGGCCAGATGCATCTGCTAACTGTATGAAACATGGTAAGTTATTTTCTATCGCTGGACCAATTTATATTTTTAAATCATTCGGGAGTGTTTCGTTTATCTAAAAACTGTTTTTTATTTGGTTATTTGTAAAGGTGGAAAACTGGCCAGCATTGAAGATCCTTCTGAGCAAGAATTTATCCAAAACAGTATTAAACAATTTCAAGACAGCCACACGTCGTTCTGGATCGGCCTGTATAGAACCCACGCAGGTAAAGTCCAGTTGTCTTCATCTTTCATATAAAGCAACATTAAACAATATTGTGACAACAAGAATAAAAACGATGTTTGTAAAACAAGCTCTGAAACCGCAATGTTACAAATGACTGTAGCTTGATAATTTATGCCTGTTCATATATCAACGCATCAAGGTATTGCTTGTAGTGCCAAACCGCAGGTTTGCTCTCTCGATTTTAGGGCCCCGCTGTATCTTTAATCGACCTCAATAGACACTATTATGCGATAATAGGTCCTCAGGTGCTAATGATTGTAACTTTAGGGTCGGTCACATCAAACATAGTCAAGGAAATGTTAGGTTGTACAACGAGATTTGTAAATCCTAAAAATAAACCCCAGACAAAAAAAAAAAGCTTTATCTGTTAAAAATAAACAAAAGAGTAATTTGTGCCCAGGCATTTGGCGGTGGTTGGATCAAGCTGCCGTGGACTACACCAACTGGTATGAAGGAGTCGAAATGAGGAACAGTTATGGATCGATTCGAGCTTCGGATGGCGGATGGACGACAGGGAGCGGCTATCACGACAGAGGGTACATTTGCAAAACACCTAAAGGTGAGATCATCATACTCTTTGAATTAAATGGGCAGGAATGTGTAACACACTGTACAGATTCCTAAACTGATTTAAACCTTAAGTATAATGTGATGACACGTCTTTTGTCATGTGTTTTGTTATTCTTCCAGCACTCCGGCAGGCGCCACAGACAACCGGTGAGTCACATCTCTTCATCCTTTTCATTTGACCAATAGCAACCGTGCACTCCTCCCTCCGGCTTATCACCCGCGCGTTGAATCCGTACAGCAAATCCTACGGCGAATCCTCAAGGCCGCGGCCGCAACGTCCTGGCCCTGGCGCTGGTCCTCACCGGGGTCGCCGTGGGAACAGTCGTCGCCTTGGTCCTCTTCAAGAAGTCCGGGCGGCGCTCAGCGGTCCCTGAAAGGTTGTCCACCTTTGACAACCCGCTCTTCTTCAACAACGAGCGGGTCCAGGCTGATTCGGGGGACACCAGTAAACTGGTGGCCGATGCAGAGGAGGAGAACCTCGGTCCAGCTGCGGCCGTCTGACGAGAACGCTGCCAGATGCTGTTTGATGGGATTCAGTGAAGCTTTACTTAAATAATTCATGTTTGCATTCACTTTTTAGTCCGCAGCTTCTCAGACAAAACTGTTGCGCTTTTGTTTAATCCTTTTACATGTATCTGCTGGTTACTGATCACCCCTCAAGGTTTAACATGTTGCATAAACATTGAACCTTGATTAAACTGTTTAATGTACTATATAATCACGTTTAACCGACCAAGAGGCTTCTAGTGAATGGTGATGTTAATGTTTAGACACAGTTATTGTTATTATCCTTCTTTAATGTCCAGAACCAGCAGGAGCAGCTGGAAACAAAACACAGACATAATATCATCACCACATAAAGTTGCAAAGGAGAGAGTGTCTTAGTTATTCTTTGACGTTGTTTTTCTGGTCCGACGGCAAGTCCGACATCCACTCGCCTTTTGGCTCTTTTGTGGAAATGAAAATATGTAATTTTTGGGCTTTCTCAATAACCCAACTTTACTTCCTTCCACAACCCCAAACAACACCAAGAAAGTTTGGTGTAAATCTTTAGGATGAAGATGTTTCTAAATTAAGACCATGAGTATACTTGTTTTGTATACAGTGGACAAAACTGTTGGCCATAAGAATAAATTTAGCAGCTACGAGGTCAAAAGAGCCACAAAACCCTGCGTCACTGTAACGTTTGTATTTTCAGCATTAACATCATTGAGTACGCCTGCTTACTGCAGCAGTGTAGATTTAGCCAAATATTACATGCCAACAGTCATAGAATGTAACTACTATGCGTGAGTATTTTCATTGTCTGACGTAGGTGTTGATGCCTTGTAATACAATTGAAATGAACGCACCCCTTGTTTTCCATTTTAATGATTTTAGAATGCACATTTGTCAAAACGAAAATGTACAAAAAGCTAACCGCCAAAAACTCATGTTGAACACAGTCGTCTCCGTCTCATCCGAACATAAACAGTAGGTGATGTTCATTCAACCAGGCTCTCTGGTTCTCCTCACATCCAGCCCACCTGACAAGGCAATCATGAATATGTACAAATGCATAGAGATTGTATTCAAGCTATATATTTCATCAGGAGAAGATGCATAGAGTATCCAGCACGTAGCCGGCGTCGGCAACAGATTTCCCAATGCTTCCAGACAAATGCAAATCAACAGATGTGCTCCAACACCATTTAGAAAAGTAGGAAGCAACGTATGACTTCCCTTCAGAACTGTGTAGAAAAATAGTTTCACTCTCCTTTCGAATGGTTGAAATAACTTGTTGGCCTTTGAAGATTTACACTGAATGCAACTCATGTCCGATCCTCTCGCGTAACGAGATAATAATAATAATCATTAGTTGTACAGTAGCGGATAGCTAAAGAGCTACTATGAACGGCTGTTTTCAACTCCTTTATTTCATCCCGTTGTTTTGAGATCAGTTATTTGATTGTGTAAAACTATTTTGGGCGAGAAGCTGTGATTCATTATCTATAAATCTGCTTACTGAAGTCAGCAAAAAACATTAAAAACTGCATCAGAAGCCACATTTCCATCTTTGAGTGCTTGTTTACAAGTCTTACATTTAATCTTAACAATAATGCTCATTTATTTTTGCCAAGACAAGTTAAGATTAAATGATGAATAATTTATCATTAGTCAATAAATTGACTAAAGTTTAAGGATAATTTTCTCAAAATACACACCCCAGTGGCCAGATGAGCGACTAATGCTACTTAATAAAACCACCCTGCAATAAATCATAAAGGTTATAATGTTCAGTTCAAGGGAGGTGTTGATGTGGAGGATGTAGTTTGTCATGCTGTTGAAAGGAATTTTAATCCATTTTAATTAATGGTATTTTTACATCTCATTTTGACCAATGGCAGAAGACTAAAAGAGTTAAACCTGCCATTAAACACTATTCAGCAGCTTCACAATCTCCATCATCCAGAATTATCATAAAGCCAAATCAACACAATAAAAGCTAAAACACTGTAACAATTAGATTGCATTAGTTTTAGCTCGGTGAACCCAACTAACCAGAAAGTCATTTTTCTAACATTATCTTGAGATAATGGATGAAATCAATTGACTTTGAATACATTGTGCACAAGCACAACGTCGCCTTCATCTTGACCAATATATTAATTTGTCATTTGAAAGGACAAAGTCCGTGCTTGTGGCCGTGGGGAAAAAAAGGAAAGCGATACGAGGAGAAACAACAGTCGCTAGTGAATGCAGGAATCTCCGTGCCACTGTCGCATCTCTCTATCTCTACCTCCACCCCTGTCTCTGTCTCTGTCCTTGTGTCTGTCTCTGTCCCTGTCCTTGTGTCTGTCTCTGTCTCTGGCGTGGTGGTTGTGATGATTGTGCGCAGGGTCCGTCAGCTGTGTCCGCGGTGGAATGTGCTGGTGATGCCTTCGCTGACGGTTGCGTTCGTTGTGCTCCTGCCCGCCGTTCCCACGGCGATGTTGTTGTTGTTGTTGCTGTTGGTGGTGGTGGTGGCTGTTGTGATGGTGGTGCTCGTGGCCTCGGTGGTTATAGCGCGTCTCCTCCTGGTCCTCCTCCTCCTCCTCCTCCTCCTCCTCCTCCCCCTCCTCCTCCCCCCTCTCCTCAGGCGGGCCCCTGCGGGGAGGCCCGTGTCTGTAATCGCTGCTCGACCGCTCTTCCGCGCCGCCGGACGTCTGGCTGTGCTGGATGTGGCCGTGGCGCTCCACCCGCCGGTGGTGGTGGTGGTGGTGGTGGTGGCGGTGGCGGGTGTGCGGGGGCCTCTTTGGCTCGGCCCTCGGGAGCTGCTGCTCCTCATCCTCCCTCCGGGCCTCCTGTGCCGGGGCGGCTGGCGGTTGCTCCCGGTCTACGTGGTTCTCCCGGGAGCTCTTCGTCTTCGGGGCGGCAGGCTTCCTGTTTTTGTGGCCGTCCTGGGAGGTGTGACATACATCAGAGACGTGATGAAGGAGCAGATCTAGCACTGAGATGTACTGTGGCCGAGCTTGTGGAGGCGTTTGGAATCACATCTATCTGTACACACTCATGTGTACTTAAGAAATAGCTGTGATCCACAGGACGTCAGCAGCCACCGAAGAATGAATCCAAACTGTAGATCCCAGTTACATCGTCTGATCGAGCTCATATTTTACAGTATTATTTTAAGGCAAATCAAATAACTAAATCACATAGTATTAAATGTAGTTATTATACGTGTGAACTCCAGAGCTATTCATTCATTAAATGTGCCTCAAAGCCGCAGGCCAATACCTGTAATTATTTTATTTTACTGGTTAATTACACATTTCTCATGCGTAAGAAAGTTATGTAGATAGTTAAGTAGAATGTGATTTCAAACTGTCTTCAGCGATGCCCTTGTTCTGTATTTCAGTCCGAGTGCACAAACTCAAACATACACTCAGCTGCTGTTGAGACGCCAAACCGGCAATCACACCACAGGCAATTTGAATATTTTTGGATGATGATTTCTCTCACGGGACGTCGGGACACTCTGTGGTGGAGGCGGACAGATCTGCTGCCTCGGGCTTCTCTACAGCTGCTACTGCAGCAGCAACTGTTTATTCACTCTTAAGTGAATTGATCCCGTTTTAACTTTGACCTTTCTTGATTACCGGATCGATGTCATTAAACGGCAGTTAACACCAAGCTACATTTTACTAAACTAATGATCAGGTTTCCTAAAAGCATTATTTGCAGATGGGCAGTAAACTATCTGCTACATTTGGACGGATGTCCAAACGAATGTCCAAAACATGATTTCTAGCTGGTTTCTAAAGAAGATGCTACAGTGACGTGTCTCTATTACTCGGCTTCACTTGAAGGCATCTCACTCACCAGAGGCAGACCTATCTCAATTCTTCAACTTCCCAGTGGAGTAGGATGAGGAAAAAACGAAATGAAAATGTTAAATGAATAAATGGAAACATACAGTACAGACGCAGCACGCTGTGCATTACTTCTGCTTAGAAAAATCGAAATTCCTAACCGTTCACTATGCAAACACATTCAACTGCACGGATGAGATGAGATGAGTGGGGTGACAATTTTTAGCAGTGATGATAAATCTTATACCCTTATTGTCTATCTAGTTGTAGTACCCCATGTGCGCTTGTGTGTCTGGGTTTCAGGTACCGGTAACGCTGCGGGACTGCTGGGCAGCGTGTTCACGGCCAGCTGGGCCACCAGTGTGTTGTCGTGCTCCATCTCCGGCGGATGAGTGGCTCTCCAGTACGACTCCAGGTAATCAGCAATGTGCTCACAGGCGTCGATCAGCTGGTTCTCATCTAAGATGACGTCAAACATTTCCTACGGGGGGAAATAAGGACGGGAATAAATAACTGAGCGACAGCTGGAGACAATACAAAAGGTCTCGCAATGAAATTCAAATTAGTAGCTGTGATATCTGTAGAATGCATGAAAGCAAAGCCGTAGCTATGATTTAAGAAATACCAAATAAACCCTTTTTTTCATATTTCTTTCACTCGGTCGGCTGTTGATTATTTATTTTTCTAAGAAAAAAATCCCCAAATAAAAGTCTAAATACGGTTATGCTGTTTTTTTCTTGCATATTGGCCATGAGGACATGAGGACATGATGTGATCGGCAGTTAGTCCCTGCTTAAAAGGTCAAGGGGTCGCAGGTGTATTTCCATTTTGCACCAAACCATCCTGGATAGTTATTACTGATGGACTTCAACTCCAGAGTAATTCCTACGCAACATTTGAATTATCGAATATATAAACGGCGTGATAACAATCCATCCTTTCATGAATTTAACATAACGTGCAGTATTGGATGACCCTGGACGACACTCACCGGAGGGCACTGGGCGAGCTTGTCTGCTGCCACCATCTGAACGTTAAGATGCTTGGTCTGTGACTTCCCTCTGGTCTTGATCAGTCTCGTCAACACCTGCGGTGAGGAGAAAGAGGGAGGAAATAAAGTTGTCCATTGACAGGCGGGTGTTTGTTCGTATCTGCCCATATGGTGAACAATAACATTGAGAGAAGCGAGGAACAGAGCGAGGTGCAGCTCACCTTCGGGGAGGAGATCTTGACGTAGACAAGTATCGGCGCCAGGGAGGTCTTGGACACCTGGATGGGGTGGTTGATTGTGTCTGCATCTAGAACCACCAGCTGCAGGCTGCGGGCCAGCTCAAAGATACGCTCCACCTCCCCCTGGATCTGGGCTGTGACAGCACAGAGACGCGGGAGACAAAATCAGTTCTGCACACTTTCTACCCTTGATAACATTTAACTCATGAACATGATCATTTGCAATCAAATACATGGAATTGTTCAAAACGTCATGTATTTGCAGAGTTGGTAATGTGAGTTTGTTTTTGTTTGAATGTAATCCAGATGCAGAAATGAGTGTGGATTCTGAAATATCTTATTTTGAAGGTTAGACCCCAAGAGAAGTCTAGAAATAAATGACCAAGTTATATTTTTTAGATTAAAAGGCAATAAAACAAGTAAGTCCCTCCACAAGTTCCATTCAGGGAAGCTGATTTCAATTTTAATTGAATCACACCTCAGCAGAGGATGAGAGAGCTTGTTCTTTCAATTTACTGTATCTCTGTTTTTTTAACCAAACAAACATGTTTTTCTGATAAAACATGAGGCACGACCCTTGAACAGATAAAAAAGTCTAGATACAGAATGCTGCCTCTACTTTATTACAGTTAGTGATACAGTTAGTGATTTTGTGATCAAACCGGATGTGTTGCACACGCGCCATGGGCTACTTTAAAAGACGGCCACTAGAGGGATCAAAAGAAAGCCGAGCGTGAGGAGCCACCAGCTGTTTTCATTCCACTAAGAAGCTAAAGTGCTGACAAATGTCGTCAACGTAACAAACCCGAGCATCCTACAACACAAACAGACACAGTGGCTAATGGTGCTGATGAGGTAACCAAGGCGATTTGAGCAGACCGACAGAGACTATCGATGCTTTCAGTCATACATACCGGCAGTATCTGGGATGAGAAAGCAATGAGAAAGACAAGAGGAGAGAAAACCAGGTAAATCTCATCCCCCTATTGGGGGGGGCTAAATTTATGGGGTGGTATAGATTCTGCTCGTATTCGTCATTAGTGTGCACACAGTGATCCCTGTCAGCACCATCCTTTGAATAAAACATCAGCTTTGCAGTACAAACAGGAAGAAGAAAATCACATCCCTGCACAGTGTTTACATCAAACAAAGAAAAGGGGGTTTGTGGGGGGGGGGGGGGGGGGACACATTCATTTCAGACCTTGCTGAAATAGAGTGAATAGCTTGTTCTGACCTAATCGGGGGGTTGCGAGTGAGTGAGGGAAAACACGATGAGGGCCAGAGAGGCTAAGACGCTCAACAAGAGGTTCTTTTAGAAGGTAATTTAGTGCCGATGCGATCTGAATCGTCCTGAGGAGGAAAGCCTGAACCCTCGCGGGCCTCCAAGCAGATAATAGTGGTGCCAGAGAGAGTTTACTCTGACTACGGATCCAGGTTGGGTTGAAGAAGCCACGTACCTAAATTGTGGCGAGTGTTCGACCGATCCATTAATGCCTTTTTGCCCGGGTTGTTGAGAATGGAGCGTTTAGCCAGAGAGATGTCTGCTGTGACCCGTGTAATAGTGATTCTGGAGAGGGGAGAGGACACGGAGGAACAGGGATCGTGACACCGTTTCATTGGAGTCTCGTTTCAACGCGAAAAGGTGCGACACTGGAGAATTTAATCAGAACTTACCTGCCTTCAAATCGATGTTTTAAAAAGTCAAACAGCGCTTTTTGCATCATATCTGTAACCTGCAAGGACACATGGAATTACGCAATTACGCAAGCTTCAAATACCAAAAAGGACTCTTCACAAAGTGACTGAGACTGCAGAGTGGGTGAGGCTCACCTCTAAGCCCTTCAGCGACGGCCCCATCAGGACCACCGGACGCATGGTGGGCACCACGTCGTACATGGACACCTGCTCCCCCTGCAGCCACAGAGAAGCACCCGTTTCATTCACACCATGAGACACCGATGCTGCAACGCGCAAACGGACTGAACGCGGATGAAATCAGGTTTTCTAAATGCTCTATTCGATCATTAAAAGTTAGATGGTTAAAGGTTTATGTACAGAGTTGGTCAACAGAACAGCAAACATCGGGTTGCTTACCGGTTTCTTTTTCACCTGCTGGTTGGCTGTTTGCGTGGACGGATAAGAGACGTGTCTATTGTTAACCCACCGATCACCACAAACAGACAACAAAATCATTTCTGTTGTGTTTTTAAAACCTCGTTGCACGCACACTGACCTTGGGATGGGGGAGTATATTTCTTTGCGTTCATATCTTGAGCTACTTGAGTGGCTTTGCTGAAATGAGAGGGCGATCCTGAATGAACTCACATTAAAAACAGAGCTTTCTTCTTGTGGATGTTTCATTCATTGAAACTATAGTTTTAAACACAAACATATCGTGATCACAGCCTGACAGCTTATTATATGGAAATCCTCTATCCAGTGCAATTGTCCATATATACACATTGTTTGTCATCATTATATTATATGTTTGTACATTTTGACACTTTTATTTCTTTCCTGCTTCTATTATTTGTATAATTTCCCCAAAGAGGGATCAATGGAGCTTTTGCTCTTGTCTATGTTTAAAAATAGAGCACTAGAAGTTAAGCTATTTAAAAATGTTTGCCCGCAGACTCAATAAAAGACAAAGCCATAAAAAGCGTGGAGGGAAAATCCCTGGAAGTGATCCGGCGCACACAGCCGCCACCAAAGCCAAATTTGCAAGATCCTCAAGATGAGTTTCTTTCAGCCTAAGTGGGTCAAGTCAAAATCCTCCAGTGGATCTTCATGCCTGAAGAGACTCATTAGAGTAAAACAAGCTCCTGACTCAACAAAAGGCAAACGTTCCTACTTCTGAAAATAGTTCTGGATCTTTGAAACGTCTTTGCTAATTTGCTCATCTGTTCCTCCTCACATAATGGTTACTCTGTTACCTACCGCGGCTCGTTGGGAGGGATGGTTTGGGTTTAAAATGGCCACGGAAGAGGCGTCACGGCACAGACGTTGCTTGAGCTGAAGAACTGTTCAGATGAAGCTGTTGTGGGGGAGAGAGGAACGCGGCGGACTTACTTGGCTAAGGCCTTGGCGGCTTTCCTCGCCTGCACTTCCCTCCTGATGAGAATGGTTTCCAGGTTGACCGGACTGGGGACGAAGCCCACCACGCCATCCTCCTTCACCGGCCGGCCGATCCACCACTCGTTGTTAAACTTCTGGTCGTCAAAAGGATTTTAAAAGAGGGTCATTTAATGGCTGGATCACATTTACACTGATGGTTACTGGTATTCGATCCGGTAATGTGTTGTGTTTGCGCGTGTGATTCCGACCTCTTTGACATGGATGAACTCTCTGGCCTCAAAGGTGACGGCCTGGCCCGGCACGGGGACGTTGTCGTCGTCCGCTGGTGTGTAGGAGAAGTTGCAGCGCACCGCGAACGCCACGGGCTTGTACTGTGGACACGGGACACGTGTTCACATTGATGGTGTGCGGGAGGAGTGGACTGGTACACAACAGTGAACACACACCTGCACAGCTTGTAAATTGTATCATTTGACCGTACACTAAATATTCAAGAGAGACAATAAATAATGCAAAACTGTTGATCGTATGAATGTATTGGGAATGGAATTGGGATTCTCTCCAAAACGCAGTGCACAGACACAGTTTGTGCTTTATATTGTGCATAATACACCATGCCATTAGGTGGCTGAGAGAGCACAATGTTTTGCCACTTAACAACTCGAGCAAATGGAACATTTCATGTTATTTTACAAAACACACCTTGAATGACCTCTAACAAAAAAGTTTGTTGAAATTTGAATGAGATTGTGTCGTCTGCACTGCACTTTCTGTTTCCTTGCTGCACATGCATGCTCAAATTAGCAAGTGCATTCCTTAGTTGGCTTGTTTTAATTAATGTGCAATGTGTTTTAGTCCTAAATGACCTTTGAGTTTTCTCACAGTTTCTTTCAATAGAAATACACTATATTTTCTTTGCCATATTGTCTCAAAGCAGACGGCTGAAGAAGGTTTTTTAATTCATTTCAACTGAATCAGCACTAATCAATATCCTTAATTATTCTTCTTCACGGGGCATCAAGCGTATAAAGGGAAGACAAGCAGAATGTTGCTTGACTAATCCGATGTCCTGGTGTCTGTGATGTAATGGTGTCCTTGAGTCAGGATGCTACCATGATGCAACAGTTTGAAAGTACCTTGGCCTTCTCCAGCTGCACCTGCGCGTTTCTTTCCTCGACAACATCGGAGTCCTGACGCTCTCCCTGCAGGAGAAACAGAGAGTAACGGCAATTTGATCCATGTTTGATCCAATTCTCTGCAATGAGGTGATTGTTGCACATTGAACCTGTTCTGTCCAGCAGAGGCAGAGATACACACTTACGTAAAAGAGACACAATATGTCACAAGGTGGGATAAAGACAGTATACCGGCGTCAAAGATCCTCACTTCTTTGAAACAACCTCTGTTACCTACAAGGCAAATGTAATCCAAGATAAATACAAAGACCTTCTAGTTATAAAAACCTACACTCATGAGACATCTCGTTATAAATTCGTCATCAATAAGAGACAATATTTGGTCATAAAATGTTTGGTAGAAAAATTAAAATTCAAAATATAAAATAAATATATATATTATATATATATAATATATATATTAAGTAATATATATATATATATAATATATATATTAAGTAATATATATATATATATTAGTTAGAATAGTTATATCGGAAAAATTATTAACAAAAAAAGAAATAAAAAAAGTGTAACTACCTCTTTAACTGCACTGTATTCTCCTTAGTTTTTCTGCAGCTTAAATATCATCCAGATGGTGCAGCAGAGCAGACATCTAGCATCGAGCGACCTGAGACACCCACCTGTCACTTAAAGCTTCTATGCCCTCAAACAACTTCCCCTGAATCCTCAACATATTTTAAGCTGGTGAGCAGCATAAACATTCATTCCTCTTTAACTTGTCGTCAGCAGGAACATCAGCTATAGCGACCAAAAGCCATTGTTCTGTTTTGGGACATTTCAAGATGCAGGTCTAGATGTCACTCTTCCCGGACTGGTTACTTCCAAGTAGCAAATATATTTAATTAAGAGCTATTAAGAGCATAAAATATCAAGCATAACACATGCCAGGAAAAAGGGACGAATGTGCTAAAAAAATGCAGGGGAAAAAACGCAGCATACTGGTTACTAAAATTATATTCAAAAGTACTTGCACCACATTGGACAAAAACTATTTAAACATGTGTAAATTGAACTTACGGTGTCTAAATGAACACATATGGTCGTTAGCTCGTCTGAAAATAAACAATGGAGAATATCTTAGAGGCAAACAGGGACTCCTATAACGTGGCCCTGGGAGGATGAAGACACGGCGCACGTTTTAATAAGGTGGTGGGATTGTGTTGGTAATTAGCGGGGCCAATTACAGAAGCAAGAGGATGTAGAGAGACCTCAGCCTGATGAGGAGGGAACAAGATAGGAGGAGGAAGGAGGAAGAAAGGAAATCTCCCCCCAGGGCAGAGTCATGCGCAGGCACGGCTCCCTGTTTACCCACGGATGGTGTGGACATCTGCTCGCACAGCACCCGCCTCTCCGGTGAGCCAATGTCACCCAGCAGCAAGTACAACACGCCCCCACTGGATTATTAAACAATGTTGAGCTCCACTGCAGGTGAGTTACAAAAAAATGTGCAGTTCAGAGCTGCAAAGAATCTTTTTAGTGTTCTGTATTAAGTCAGTCTTTTATTCTTCATTCCTCCTTGCACCCTCCTTGTTTCCTTCATTCCCCGCTGTCTCCTCAGTGCCTCCCGGTTGCAAACCGACCCCGGCCCATTAGCGTGATTATGTGGCTTGGGAGGCAAAGGAAAGTGGAGAACAAGGTGGATGGGGGGCAGTATTGGGGGCGTGGGGGACAACTAAAACCACTTTCTCTCACGTGCTACCTGAAGGTGACTCCTTTTCTGGGAGAAAACGTTTACACAGCTCTTTCCTTACCCGCCAGGGGAGTACATTAGGAGACCAATATCTGATTGGGGAGATGGACTCCATCCCTAAACTGAAATAATCAGAACCATGGAGACACCAGGAGCCAGCTGGCTGGACATGAGAGCCGTGATTCCCCAGAGGACAAACTGAACTCTGCACCTGAAGGAAACGCTGAGATACGGCTGACTGGTTTGAGCGGCTGAAGAAACGTTAAACTCACAGCGACAGATCCTACTGAATTTACTCTGACCGTGAATTGAGCAAGATGACATGCTACTAACGGCAATTGTCTTTAAAGACGCTTGCATCAGGCTTTATTTTTGGATGCAAAAAGTGAACTTTATACCTTTGAACCCTTACAAGCTTCTGACCATTATAAACACACTGCGAATTTTCAGATGCAAAGGAAAAAACAGAAGCGGCTCACGTGATTTAGTTGTATATTATTCATTATTGTCAATATCATTATTGATTGCCATATTTCAAACGCTGCGACAATAGTGGGTCGGTTGCTGCTCGCAATTGCAAATTCTGCATGAATGCAAAGAGGAATCTACAGTTATCAGATTCAGCCTCCTTCCTTCTGCCAGTTGTCAGAATGGTCTTTGCATCAAAGGTACGGAAGGTTTATTCATAATACTGCTGATGCCCAGATGACTGCTCGCACTCACAACATTATTGGAGAGCAGCCTGTGCTTTGATCTGGTGTGAACAGGACAACTAACCATAATATATTTACTCATATCTCTGGATATTCCAGTTGATCTGCAGAGGAGGAGCATTTTAAATGATGAAATAAATACAACCTCATTAAAACCTTCCTGGTGAGCGTTGGATCTGTGTGAGCTGTGTATCAAAGAGGACAAAACGCCGCGCGCCTCTCAAGCAGAGTTCACTGGCACGAACGGGTCACTAATGTAATTGAGGATCATTTACAATTAGCTCTTTGGCACGAGGCCCAATGTTCACAAATTCCTCATTTTCACCCACACGAACCTTTCTCGTATTAGCTCTTTCTGCTGCAGAAGAACAGTGACATTTCGGTCAATAACCATAATCCTCTTGCAGTTTAGCCTCATGCTCATTTACTTTCATGTTTTACTCCACCTCGGCTTCATTAGCATGCAGTGTGTGTCCGGTGGGGTCCAGGCCCCCGTCCAATCAGCTGCTCCGCATCATCTGTCTGAAGGAGACTGGCTCCGTGCCCTCTGCCTCGTGCTACCACCGAGCAGATATGGTCGCTTTGGCAGTGGCGCCTCTACTCTGGCGCCCACCCTTCGCCGCAGAGTCAACGTCTGCATCCCTTTAGATCTCCAATTACTAAAAACTAAAAACTTTTTTTTCTTTCCACTAACTGTAAATGTAACAACACAAAAGTATTAGGGCTGTCAAAAATAATGCATTAATCTATGCGATTAATGTGGCTGAGATTATTGCACCATTTTTTTTTAATACTATTAATACTTTACAACGGTTTGCATTGACCCGGGAAAAGAAACTCCACGTGCTGCAGTCAGTTAGCTCGGAGAGACCAAGACGTTGGAGGATGGAGAGAGCCACCATGGTTCCCAGTGAGCGGCCGTTCTCACTCTCAGGTCATATTGTCCAGAAGAAGAGAGCAGCATTGGCTCCAGAAAACGTGAACATGCTTTGTGTTTGAAAAAAAAAAAAAAGTGATTACTCGTTAGTTCATAACATTTTGTAAACAAACTTTTAATCGCCATTAATGGCGATTAATAAATTTCAAAGTGTGCGATTAATTAGTTGATTGTTTTTACTCTATTGACAGCCCTAAAAGTATACATCAAATAGGATTTATATATTATTTTGCTGTTGACTACTACTTATTAAAAGCATTTATTTCTATAGAGAGAATTCCGCGGCACCAAATAGCCAACTGAAAAAAATTAATTATTGCATTGCATGGCGTATTTGTACTCTCCACTCTCTGGGTCGTGATTGTCCCTGAGTAAGGAGATTAAGACAGCATGCGTCAATCCAGGGTTTAGAGCGACAGAGAGACAAATGCCACCTCCTCGCTGACAGCCAACGCCGCTGCTCAGACCGCGTCGTCTCAGGCTTCCCGACTGATAGAGATTCAAGAGCTGCTTTCTTTCCATCCATCCTTCTCGCTCATCATTCAGACTGACTGCTGGTAGGAGGAGGGGTGTGCGTGTGTGTGGGGGGGGGGGGACCATAACTGTTATCGCCCTCTCTCACATACTGCTCTGAGGAACCAGCGCTAACACCGGAACTCTCCTCTTCTATGGTATAAAACCCAACATGTTTGTGTTAAACACAAAAAAAGAATATAGAGAGGAAGTAGAAACACACTGTAATCAACTTGCAAACCCTCCCAACCTCAAAGGGAAGAGGTCTACTCGCCCTGTTGCTCCACTTCCTGCGTGTAAGGACACTAAGAGGCTTTTCCTATTCTCGGTAACGAGCAGCAGCACCATGCAGCGCACTGTGATGCCGGAGAGAGAAGGCCGTGCACTTGGTGACTCCCGTGTGCTGTCGTCACATTTGAATCGCAGAGCTGATCGTGACCTGTTTCAGTAGAGACCAAGAGTTCTTCTATAAGACACAATTTTGTGTGACGACTAATGCTGTTGTGAAAGTAGTTAAGGATTCCTTTGACCTGCATTTGGCCGACAAACCAGATGTCAACCCAATATTGACCACTCTGTTGTGAGTTAGCACCTGCGTGGTCGGTACTGTAGCTGTGCATTCATATCACGTCCATAAAAGTTATTAGTATACGGTTAAAAAACAACATTTTGTTGGGGAAATGCTTTATGCCCCGTTCTGTCCATCGGTAACTTTGTCTGCCTTCTGTGTCGTGATGAGTAGAAACAGTAATGTGGCTTTTCAGAGCCTTTTCAATGGAAACTGCTTCCGGCTGCAGCAACAAACGAGATATGAGAGTTAAGTATTGCAGGGCTGAAAATATACATTATTTTTTTTGTTTGTTCTCAAGTTGAGTTCCTCTTTAAATTGCCAGCGGGACACAAGCTCCTTCAGGTTTCAAACAACATAATTTGAAAATATATAGAGAGATAATATACTGATAATAAAACACTATTATTTTTGGTTCACGGTTCGTTGAGTAAGAAAATACAAAATGTAATTTCCAAGTTCCATCTTCGGTTTGATTAAACAGAAACAAAAATACCAATAAAATTGTGCAGCAGACAGAATAGTAATTTCCCCAGATGGCTAGAAGAGTCTATAAGGGTTCTGGTTGCACCTTCATAACCA